TATAAACATTACAGCAACATAAACGTAATAACATATATTATTCGGGAAATTTAAAGTCTGTGTCTTTAAGATGGTCCTTTATCCATTTCTCAGCTTGAACTGTCATTTCCTCGTCAAAATACTCTCTCCAACCACCTACTTTACCTGTAACATAAAGAAGTTATCAAATAAATTAATTAAATTTTTAAAAAACCAGCTGATAATTTGAAACTATTTCTGCAAATATTATCTACCTTTCCTCACGAAGCCGCCGTCTTTCATAAAAATGCCTTTATCTTGCATGTCTTGATAATTGACAGACTTGTTTTTCTTAAAGTTATCAAACTTGAGATGTTCTCTGAGTTCCTGTATTTGATCGTCTGTTATCTTCTTGTCAAAGAAGTTTGCGACCCGACGAATAACTCCAGGCAAATCCTAAAAACGAACGTGTATGTAATTATCAATTAACTTTTAGTTACAATAATCTTTCACGTAGCCTTTGACCTTAAGACCTTTGACCGTTTTAATACTGTATTAAATTTAGAATTAAATGTTATAAAAGGTACATACCTTAGAGAGTTCTTCATAGAATAAAAACAGCATATTTGGGTGTCTGCGTTTTTCCCAAGCCTCCAGAACACTGGCAAAGTATGGACCCCAGGATACTGTAAACATGAAGAGTTCACTGTTATTATATTAGATTCATTAAATTTCTAGAAAAATATTCTAGACACCCTACTTTTATCATTAATGAAGAAGTTCCAGTAAGTCTTGAAGTCTCTATCAGGAGCCATGACCCTCATCAGCTTGAAATGATGAAAGAAAGATACAGCGACATCTCGTGGATCACGGGCGACGTACAGTACCTAAGTTAAAAAATTTGATTTTATCGGAATTTAAGATCAAATTTTATATTAAGAGTTAGTTGTACCTTTGTTTCTTCGAGTAAGTTTGATGGAAGCAAGGATAGAGGTAAGTGGGTTTTTATAAACCTTGGAGAAGGCAGTGCTTTTATATCATCGACTGTAGGTAGAGCAAAGTCTTTTACTTCACCATCCTTAATATGGCTAGAAATGGTATCATCAAACGAGAACAGTGACGCCCTTGAGAAGAATAAGACAAAAAAAATTATCCAATACGAATATTTAAATAACATGTTCATTAGGTTCGTATAAAATAACTCACTCTAAAAATGGGAACCTATCATTTAAGTTTTTCTTTGCTTTTTCGTAATCTAAATCATTCAGTAACAACCACACTAATTCTTGAGTCCATGTTGTTCCTGTAAAACAATGAAACATTATTTTTAATACATAAATGCCAATAAATATGTTATTAATTGCTTTGATATACGTTACCAAATTTGAAAATTGTACGGTTGGCGGTCTTGAAGTTGGGAATGAAAAAGTGAGAATTAGTAAAAAAAATACCTGATTTCGGAAAACTGACGACGAATACGTCATCTGGTCTCAAAGGAAAGTTATAAATATTAGCTGCCTCATTCCTGTTATACTCGAGGGGTAGGACATAGCCCTTGGGTCCAATACGACTGTAGACAATTTTGGAACCTAGATAAAGTAATGATTTAGCTTTAGCAATAATTAAATGGTGGGCAAGTATTTCATCCGAAGAAAGGAACAAAAAAACTTCCGATATAGTTTAATATACACACATAAAGTCCTATATTTGAAAACTTGGTATATTATTTAATTGATATAATACTTAGTACTTTATGATAAATATTAGATGTTTGTTGGACGATTAAAGCGAAACAAATTAGTAAGTATAATGTATTAGAATAATAAAAACTTACTTTGTAAGTAATTCAATAGCTCTTCATTTTCCTCCTCAGTAAAGGGTGTTATATCGTAAGGGAAGTTCAGTTCGTCCATCGCAACCACCAGCAGGGATGTCTCAATGAAAGTAAATCTAAACTTGTATTTATTATTTCTGTAACGCAAGTCATAGTCATTCTATCAAGACAATACTTTATCGCTGTCCTACGGTTCACTTCGAGTTTATAGCATATGTATAGGAAATATAGGATGAGAAACGTCTGACAAAACTTTATCTTTGTATTATCGCTATCTAAATACCTCAATGAATTAAAGTCCAACCCTCCAAGGAAAGTTACAAAGTATGCTCTTTTTGAAAAAAAAAAATCACTCAGTAAATTCTCAATTGTTAGAAAGTAACCGTCAGAAGCAAAGAATTCAGGCCAGTGCCTGAATTCGCTAATCATATCAGGATATGATTTACTTGTTCCATTAAAACATTTTAATTAAATTGCGTATTGTTTTAAAGGAATATCCTTCCAATATTGACTTTCAATCAGTCAGGTAATTCCCAATATAAAAAAAAAAATACAAACATGAACTACTTTTCTATATTTTATCTGCCATTCAAACACTAGATTGAATTGAAAGAAAAACAAGATAAGATAAGTCTTAAATAACTTTGACTTATTGTTGAGGTGGGATGTATAAACAATGATCATGAAATCGAATAGGTTTTTCCATTTAAATCTGATTATAACGGAATATTTTCAAAGATTATTTCTCCGTTTTCGTTTAGGTCTCTTATTAATAGTAGGAAAAAATGGGATTATATGGCTTACAAATATGAAGAAACCAACCAAAAATATTTGACGATCGAGAAGAATGTTTGTAAAACAATGAGAAATGAGAAATTCAGATGATATATTTTGTTATGTTAATTGGTATACAGTCCCTACAGGAAACTCAGAGTCTTAATTTGACAATAATATAGTATTTTGAAAAGTCAAGTGCTGCATTTTTATTTATTTAATAATTAATTTCTTATCTTTCCATATAAAACCATGAATGAAAATGAATTAGCTAATTAAAGGAAATTGAAAATAACCATGCAAAAAACAGTAAATGGGAATAATTATGGGTGGTGAAAAATATTTTTTGACATATTATATTTTAGGGGATACTATCATATGTAAATAAACATAATCAAAATACGATAGAATAGAAATTATTGTTCTAAACAACTTAGCTTCAGAGCATTTAGTGGTCAGAGATAAAACACTAGAAAATTTTTATCAATTTAACGTTATATTTATTTATATCACATATGATTTATTTCTATAACATTTTTATATATTATGAGTCTTATGGAATAACTTAAATCTGAAAATAAAATTTCTTTGGTGTTTAAAAAAATGTTCGTTTAATGGAGTAATTGTGTCCTAATGAAAATAATGACAATTTTAAAATAAAAATCTCCTTCAACTTACTTAAATTAATTTCTCAGATTATACTTAATATTAAGAAATTATCTACAATGCAATAAATAAAGTTTAAGTTTACATATATTTCTAAAAATTTACTTTAGAGTTTTTATACTTTAAAAAATTCTTAAAAATTTCTTACAACATATTATTTTTACCCATAAATATACCTTTGGTTAACTTATAATGAGGTAGATTTTTTAACAGGACAAGATGACTCTACTATTATTTTCAATTAATCAATCAAAAAAAATACATGTACCCAACAACAAGAGCAAAAATGCAGTAAAGACACTTGGCGAGGATGTTTTTAACAGAAATTAATGCTTTTGTAGGGCATAATCACAATATTTACTTGAAGAATACTTTAAGAAAGAATTGAAGTATACATATAGGAAAGTAGGAGTCCTTTCATGTTAGAAGATGTAAAAAAATAGGAACAAAATTTCGGATGCTACTAGTTTTAGATTAATTAATAAAATCATAATCCCGACTTTTAAGTTCCTTTTTGATGTTTACACCAAACGTGATCTATCGTGATGTGAAAATTTTTAATGAAAGGTACACATGAAAATCATAAATATAAAAAATTTGGAATTCACGTGCGATTTTAGGGAAAATATAATATCTTGCAGATTCGTAGTCTAATGAAGTAGAAAATAAATGTACTAATACTCTTTTGAAGGTTTTTACTGCTTTTAAAATCTATTTCATTTCTTTCTTATAGCAAAATAATGTAGAGTCAGTGAGTGAATCATTAAACTGTAATTTCTCAATCAAAATTTATTTTCCACCACTGAATTTCTTAGTTGTTGTAATGCGTATAAGTAATTATTATTATTTTTATACTAATTTTTAATCATGACTTCGTCATTAGGCTTTCATGTAAAATTGCATGAAAACTCAGATCCATTAGTTTTTGTGTGAAAGGCGACAAACGTGCATACAAAAATATATCTACTCACTCTCAAAAATTTTCGTATTCATAATATGAGGACATTTAACAAAGTTTAAAACGTTTCTGTTAAAAAATTCTGAAAAAATTAAAGCAATTTCTTTAAAGTTTAGAAGACAGCGCCTATGTTGAAGAATGGCAATATATGTTACATGTGATATTGCTTTCATTTTGTGGATACTTAAAATTATAAAATGTACAATTTAAATTATAAAGCAAGATTTTTTTATCTTGTTTATTAATTGTGTTTTAAATAAGAACACCACACCGATACCAATCATCTAGGAAAAGAGAAGTAATCGTTTATATTATTTTTATAAAAATAAATTTGAACGATAAAGATTGCTCTAAAAACAAATCAGGTTAATTTTGTTAACGTCACCAGCTTCATGTCCATACGATTGATTTATTACTTTGGTAATAACGATTTCACTTAATAACTAATACTATTATTGGGTATGAGAATATTAGTGTTGAATACAGTATTTTTAAAACTATTGAGGGATTATTGTGAAATGTTGATAGTTTAAAAAAAAATTGTTTTACTGTAAATCATATATCATCATAACTTTTTCAGTCGGTGACAGGATAAGTGAAGTGTAGATAAATGATAAATTAATAGAATATTTCATTACATTATAGATCTAGTAAATAAGAAAAAGATCATTGACATAGGGCCGAGCATTTATGATTCAATCAAAGCAAACAGTTTACAGTCGTGCGCAGGTACGTGAGTCGCGCGCCCGCCTCTTTTGAAATTATACTTTCGTTTGTGTTTAAATAATTTGGAGCGTTGTTAACGGTGCAATGGCTGATAAAAATAATCACAATTATCCATTGGAGATCCGCGACGTCGAGCAGGATGTTGCTGAGATGCTCATGAAATTTTTCACGGGTAAATATGTCATTGTTTATATACAACTTTTATCTATTAATTACATTTCATATAAGGCATAGATAACAACATGTTTGTACTCTATTTTATATATAAGTTTAAAACTATGAAGAATTTCTAGAATATAAAGTATCTTTAAATTTTCTTGCTGTACTTTTATGGCGGAATTCGAAAACTTGCTGACACAGATAGCTCAAATGATATTCAGTTGATATAATTTAACATACAAATAAATAACAAAGTAATCAACATATAAATATAATGATAAACAAACTGAACTGTTATTATAATGTAAATATTTTAATATAACATATAACTTACTAATTAAAAAGGAATAAAATTAATATAGATTTCTTATCAACCGGATTCTTGCGTCTTCCAGACTCGATGCATCTTGTGGTACAACATTAAAATAAGATTAAAAATATTCATACATATTTGTTATAGAGTTCTAAATAAATATTTAATACCTTTGCTAAATAGAATGTAATGTAATAAAATAAATAGAATATAATTGTTTATACACAACCATGCAAAAAGTGGTAAATCTTGAATTCCAAGAGAAAGTTTAGAGGTAACAGGTTACGATACAGTTTTCTAAAAATATATTTTTTATATTAAGATATCAGTTTATGCTTAGTTATTTGAAACAATTATAAATAAATGTAACTTAATAATTAAATTCATAAATAAGTAAGATAATATCAATTAAGACTAGTAAAAAAGTTTAATATCATTTCACCTTGAATTTGTAAAGGTTGAAAAACCAAACAGAAACAAAATTTTATTTTGGTCGAAATTCTTGTATCAATAAGATTTTTTATAAGTGAGCTTAAATTACATAGTTGTTGCTAGACATGTTTTTTGTTTATTTTTGAGTTTTGTATTCCTCATGTACTGTATTAAGGTTCCCGTATGCGACAATGATACTCAGAAGAGGGAAACATTCAAAGATAAACGTCTTATCTTGCGAAAGCGTTAAACGTTTAATTATAAAGATAAACCAACACTCATGTCATACCTTTAAATTAATCTGACAAAATATATATAAACAATTATTTAAAGTACTCGTAACAATAAACATTCGTAACGTCTTTTAAATACTGAATTTAATTTTTAAATTAAATTATCAATAAAAAAAATATTTGTAAAGTTTTCTGATTACAAACCTTTAGTCTACATATTTAAAAAATAAGAGGCCATTATCTCACGTCATCTTCCTGAAAATACATTAAGTTATATACTTATTTTAAATAACTAAAAGACGTTTTATTTGGGGGGGGCATTGAACCCCAAACTATTATTGGTCGAAATTTAATATTAAAATTATTTAATAAACAAAATGAAGTGTATTTTTTTACATTATTTCTACTGAAATTCTTAATGTTACCGTTTCGAATCAAACTGGACTCTCTCTCTCTCTCTCCGTAGCAATTATTATTCCCATCTGATGGTGGGGTCTGCCTTTCTGGTCTTTCTCTTCCACTTCGCTCTGTCGGACGCGTCCTCTTCGGTAACCTTGCACAACTTTAGATCTTTTTTGACCACATCTGTCCATCTTGTCTTTGGCCGCCCTCTGGGTCTGGACCCCGTGATGTTCAGATTGGTCATAACATTTCCAATATAGTCAGGAGGTCTTCTTTTTATGTGCCCATACCAACGAAGTCTGCTCTCTTGAAGCTTGTCGGCGATGTTACGTACACCGAGACTGCCGCGGACGTACTCGTTGCGAATTTTGTCGAGTCTCGTCACTCCGCACATCCACCTAAGCATTTTCATTTCGGCGACTTGGATTTCGTTGGTTTGGCGCTGAGTTATGGCCCAAGTCTCGCTGCCGTATGTTAGGACCGGCCTGATTATGGTCTTGTATACTAAGCCCTTGATTTTTACTGGCATTCGTCTGTCGCAGGTTACGCCAGTCACTTCCCGCCATTTAAGCCAGGCCGCTGCTATACGGTGCTGAATATTTGCGTCCAAATCTCCAGATGAGTGTAATATGGATCCCAAATATTTGTATTCGTCACATTTTGTGACTCGTTGTCCATCGATGATAAGAGGTACCTCTTCTGAAGTTGGATCGTTGCAAACCATGTACTGGGTCTTCGCAATATTCAGTAGCAAGCCACCATTCTGCAACTGACGCTTCCAATTTTCCAGAGCCTTCTTGAGTTCATCAAGGGTTGTCGAGCATATTACCACGTCGTCGGCATAGATAAATGTCCAAGGTGTCAAGGACTGCGCATTTTCCGTGAGGGCGTCCATCAACAAACAGAATAGATATGGACTCAGCACTGATCCCTGATGTACCCCCTCTGTAACTGGTATCGCTTTGGTCTGTCCTACTGTTGTCCTGATAACCGATCTTACGTCCTTGTACATGTCAGCTATAATATCGATATACCTTTCTGGGATATTTTTCTTACGAAGACTCCACCAGATTGTTGCTCGAGGTACACGATCGAATGCCTTTTCCATGTCTAAGAACGCAAGGTAAAGCGATTTGTTCTTAGCTCTAAACTCTTGGACAATCATGCTCACTGCGAACATCGGATCCACAGTTGATAATCCTGGTATGAAACCATACTGGTTGGCTGACAATGAGCCCTCCTGCCGTAATCGACTTTCTATGATTCGCTCGTACAACTTCATTGTATGGCACAACAACTTTATGCCCCGATAATTGTTGCATTCGTACCTACTTCCTTTGCCTTTATAGAGTGGAACAATTGTGCTTAATCTCCATGCGTCTGGTATGAGTGAAGTTTCCATAGCCTTTTGAAACAAATGCGTAAGGATATTGATACCCTTTTCCCCTAGACATTTCCAGGCTTCTATAGGCAGTCCATCGGGCCCTGGAGACTTCTTGTTGGACATTTTCTTGAGGGCAACTTCTACTTCTTGAGGTGTTATTAAAGATATTACTCCTAGGTTTTTTCTCATGTTTGGCAGATCAACTGTTCTTGTTGTTGTGTTCAAAAGCTTATTGTAGAAGTTATGCCATGCTGCCAAAATGTCCTTATCTGTGTACCTCATGGACCCGTCTTGATCTTTAATGATCCTTGTTGTAACTTGATCTTGAGTTGCTCTATTACGGGTTTTTGAAAGCTTGTAGATTTCGTTTTGTCCCTCTCTACTTTGCAGTGTTGCGTAAAGTGTCCCTAATGCATTTTTCCTCTCAATGGCTACAGTTTTCTTTGCCTTCTTTTTTGCTTCGTTGTAGATATCCCTGTCCGTCTGGGATCTGGTGGATTGCCAAATTTTAAATGTGCGCTTCTTCTCTTGTAACGCTGCCTGTACTGAGGGATTCCACCACCATGTTTCTTTGGGTGTTTTCTGCCCTGGCTTAGAACGGCCCAAGATGTTATTTGCGGCTTTCATGATTTGTGTGTAACACTGTTTCCATATCGAGTTAACATCGTCGTCCATGTTCAAGGTTAATCCTTCGAGCTCTTTTCTAAATTGGTCAGCCTTATCCCCTTTTAATAACCACCACTTTGTGATTTCCGGTATATTTTGAGGTCTCTTAACCTTTTTTCGACGAAAAACCATGTCCATGACTAGTACGCGATGCTGTGAGACAATGCATTCCCCCGGTATCACCTTGCAGTTCTTTATTCGACCAATGTGAGATCGGTTTGTAAGTAGGTAGTCTATTTGTGTACTGTGTGCGCCGTTTTTGTACGTGATAATATGCTCAGGTTTTTTCCTGAAGAAGCTATTAACTATCGCGAGATCATGAGCAATGGCCGTAGCTAAGATCGTCTTTCCAGCATCATTTATGGTACCGTACCCATATCCTCCATGTACTTTGCCAAATGAGCTGCAGCTTGTACCTATGTGGCCATTTAAGTCTCCACCTATCACAACCGATTCTCCATTTGGTATCTGCTGAAGTACGTCTTCAAGTGCGGCCCAGAATGTTTCCTTTTCATTATTTTGACATCCACTTTGCGGGGCATATACGGAAAAGATGTTGACTATTTCCCCTTCGATTAATACCTTCACACCCATAATGCGGTCGTTTATCCGTGTGACATCAATAATATTTTTAAGATGACTTTGACTAACGACTATAGCGACACCATTTCGGCCCTCAGATGATCCTGCGTACATCATTTTATAGCCTTCTCCAATATTCCGCGCTTTGGAACCACGCCATTTTGTTTCCTGCAGGCACGCAAAATCTGTGTTTCTCCTGAAGAATAGTTCTGCAAGTTCCTTGGTCCTACCGGTTAGTGAACCAACATTTAATGTAGCGAAGCGGATCTTCAAGTTTTGATCTGGGACTAACGTCTTTATCCGAGCCCGTCCATGACTCGGTAGCCCTCGCATATTATTCGCAGATGTAGGGCGATGTGTCTGCGCGTCGGTTTGCGGCGACGCCCTATCCCTGTTAAACTTTCTCAAAACTTGTACTTTCATTTTTCTTTTGTGGTGGCGATTTTTGGGTTTATTATTCCAGTGCCGATTGCCATCTGACGCACTAAAACCTGAATCTTAAGAGATAGGGAAACCCGTGGGTAAGATGTTGTTACCATTTCTCACTTAGTTCTTACTGTGAGAAGTGATGTCTGGTTATACCGCCAGATACTCGGTCGCCAGAGCCTCGTTCGTTGTCTAGCAGGGAGCACCACGGCAGCTACTGGAGCCGCCGCCGCTAGCTATTCTTACGAACTACTAGCGCGAGCAGGTGAGGTTGGCATTTGAGACGGATTAGATGTTGGTTCCGTTTCCTCCTTACTCCCCTTCGAATCAAACTGGACGTTTAATAAAAAAAAAAAAAAAAAAAAAAAAAAAAAAAAAAAAAAAAAAAAAAAAAAAAAAAAGGTCAGTGTTAGGTGTCAATTCATGCACTTTGATTTTTATTATTTTAAAATAAAATGAGAAAATTAGAACAAAAACAATTTTTCTTTGGGAATTAAATTTATTACAAAAAGTCATACATAGATTACATTACACTAATTTTGCGCCTTTTACCTGGCTCATTATAATTTACATTAAGATTGTCAAATATTGTGTATTGAGAACGTGATATCTTTTCCATAAAGAACATTCAAAGGTAATAATTATTCTAAATCACTTGAATCTAGTTTTAAATATTACCCTACTTTGGAATGTGGATTTGGAATTCCTGAGAACCTTTTAGAGGTGTTTCATTATTTCAAATATCAATAATAGTTTATTGAAAGTTGAATTTATCAATGACTTACAAATTTTTACATCTTTAAACCTTTTAACATATTAGCTCCATTTGAAAAAAAATATCGTTTATAAATTTAAAAAATCTTGAATAATAATAAGAGAATCGACGAGTCTCTTATGAGTCGTGAGAGATATACATACATATAAGTAGGTATACCTACACCTTACAAAACTTTACAATATCGCATCAAACATACTTATAATATTTACAATAGTTTGTTTATTATTAACGGTTAAAGCCCTAGTTGTTTTGATACGGTTGCAAGCTCAGCACTTCTTGCACAGAAAGACACAACCAAAAATTTTGACGAAAACTTAAAAAAAAACAACTCTAACTTTCAACTGCTAAATGGCTATCTTTTGATACTTAAGTTATTCATAACTTTTATTCGTTTTCTTGACCTTAATTTAAATTAAATTTTCACAATACACAGTAATTGCTATTTCCTATTGACTTCAATTACCTACGCATAGTTTCACAGCCTTGAAGTTTAAGACTAGATAGTGCAATCAATAAAACTAAGTAAAATACTTCCTTACCTTTTCATGAGGTCAACTTAAAAAAAATCAAACTACCCTGACCTTCAAATTTTACAGTCCATTCCAATAAAAAAAACGCATTTTAATTACACGCTTCATTTCCGAACCAATCTCTATCAAATAGAACTATATTCTTTAATGTCACCACTTACCAGCCTTGAATGGAGTTAGATAAATATTTTAATACAAGTATTGCAATTTGTATGCAATTTTTTGGGTGGACATCTTTGTTTGTATTTTCTGTGTAAAGGCTCTAAATTTATAAATACAGATTGCAAGCGCTTAACATAGTTTAACATATTACGATTTAATGATAAAGAATATTTAATTGCTTTTATTATTTGGCACCTATTTGAAGTAAAGACTATAACATAACTAATTAGTCATTTGACTTGTTTCAGGTGAACACACTGGTTTTGTTCGTGTAGGGCCCAAAGGATATTTTCTTCCTAATAAGTTTAAACAAGAAGCTGCTAATATATTCAATATGCCGCTTAGATCTACAGACGTCTTCGTAGCTAGCTACCCACGATCTGGTAAGTAATGCAAAAATTTTTTAAATTTTTATACTGCTTATTATCGGCTTTTAGGTTGAAACTTTTACGAAATTATTTAAAGGTTCTTTGTACTAATTGAAAATGTGTGAAAGTTGGAAAACAGTCTTAGAGTATTTTATGAGTTGTTATCCTATAAACAAAACCATCCTTAGAATATAGATTTGGATTTTAGGTTCTTTAATAACATTATACATCATTTTTTCTTATCCCCAAATTAATGACTTGTTTATTGTTGGTCTGTTCACTAATTTCAGGTACAACATGGACACAAGAACTAGTCTGGATGGTCGTCAATGATTTAGATTACGAGAAATCCGATGCTATTCCTCTCACTGAAAGATACCCTTTCTTAGAGTAAGCAATGAATAACATTTATTTAAATCATCATCACTAATTACTTCTTGATTTGCACTACTTAGGTACAGAATGTTGAAACGCCAAATTTTGTTCAAAATCATAAAAGTAATTTTTCTACTGAATGAATTTCCTTAGTTTTATTTTGATCGCCATTTCAGCTGTATACTACATTATAGATTAATTCGCAGGTTTTCAGTTTACGTCCATCCAATAATGAAGCAGCGTTTCGTCTCTGAGAACAGTCACAGTGAAGAGAAATTAAAGCTACTAGAACAAGTGACACAACCGGGCACAGAACAACTAGCGGGAGCCCCATCACCTCGCTTCATTAAAACACATCTACCACTCTCCCTTCTTCCGCCTACCTTACTGGATGTCGCCAAAGTTGTCTACGTAGCCAGGGATCCAAGAGATGTTGCTGTCTCCTTCTATCATCTGAACAAAGGAATGAGGACGCAGGGATACATCGGTGATTTCAAAACCTACTGGCAGTTCTTCATTAAAGATTTACGTAAGTACCTTCGTGAGTTTTCTTACTAAGGAAATTCTGTCAATAGATTTCTACCATCTATAGTCCGTACAATATCCACTTATTTTCATGGAAAACAGTATAATTATATTAATTTTTTAATTCAGATCATTGGACCCCATATTTCGAACATCTTAAAGAATCGTGGGAGAAGAGAGATCATCCTAATATGCTGTTTTTATTTTATGAAGAAATGTCAAAGGTAAAATTTAAAATCCCTTTCTAAAAGGTAGTGGAGTAGCAGGCTCAGCTATATCAAAAAGACTTTTATAAAAATCCTTGAAGATTTCCTCTGCAGAAACCTAAAAATGGTAGGATAACAATGCTTCTGCTTTTTCTACTTTTTGGTTTTCGAAAGTTGTTGAGTATGTGACCCGTAACACAATAGTGTTTTATAAATTTAATTACATGTTAGACAATTCATTTAAGAAAACAAAATAAATAAATAAAACTATATTAAGAACGAACTAAACAGACCGGAGTATACATATAATAATTTATGGCATTTTTAATTAAATTTACTCTAAATAACAAATCACACAATTAATTAACTGGAGTCATGCATTAGACGGAGTTATTAAAGTGATAAGTTGTAAAGTTTATATATTTCTATAAACTGGTTATTTTAATCAGTTGTGATACATATTTCTTGGGGTTTGAGAATCTTGACTAAGTTCTGTATTTAATTATTCATATAATCGTAAAACTGATTTTGTTTTTTTACCTGTTATGACATTATTATTTCAAATTTATATTTCCCTTTCAGGATCTTTCCACTGCTGTGAGACGAGTTGCGGATTTCTTTGGAAAGAATTATTCCGAGGCAGAAATCAACAAGTTGTGCGACCACCTAAGTATTGAAAACTTTAAGAATAATAAATCGGTGAATTATGACGTCATGAAAGTACTTGGCTTACTACAAGGAGGAAAAGAAAATTTTATAAGAAAGGGTAAGACATAAGATAAAAAAATTACAAAGTTAGCTTTCGTGTATAAAAAAATACAAGAGCTGACAAAAACGGAAGTTTAGATAAACATATTTTTCATATCATTATGTTTCTCTCCGTCTGTTCTTGTATTAAGATTGGTATTTGAAATAATCACTAGCTATATATGAAGTTATTGTAATTAAATAAAGCTTACCTCAAGTTATAAAGTTATAAAAATATATATCAACTGTTAACAATAACAAAATAAGAAAACCAAGTAACACATAGATTTAAACGAATTCGAATAAACTTATTCCCTCCTAGGGGACAACTAGATAGAAGGAGTCCCAATTAGACGCTTATTTTTTTCTCAATGACTATTAAAATAGACGACAATAATAATTCTTTCCTCGATGTAATAAGAAACAACGTGTTGCACTTGCAAGAAAAATAAATATATGTAATAAAACGAAGCACCAGCATATTAAACAACCAGTATTCAAAACATGTAGATCTGAGATTATCAGTCTTCAAATAATGTAATGAATTCTAGTTTAAAGAAATTTGTTATCACATATTTCAGGTAAAGCAGGCGGTTGGCGCGAATATTTCGATGACGAGATGACAAAACAGGCCGAGGAATGGATAGAAGAAAACTTGAAAGACACGGACTTCAGATTCCCCCATTTACAACATTAGAACATCATTTTATATACTTTACAAACAGACCTGATTTTCCATTGTTTATAAAATTATGTAAATAATTATATTATTAAAACTTAAGCACTGTTTGAGAACTTAACAAATGTTATCAGTGTATTGATAATACTAAACTATGTCAAAAGTTTAAAACTTATACCATAGCATAGTAACAACGATTAAATAATGTGATAATGGAGAAAAATTTTGTATAAATTTTTGTTATCAAACAGCTGGTATACTCGTATTTACTTCCATCGGCAGCGCCAACTGGCTATTAGATGTCAAGAGAAAGGTTGTTCATCGGTCACTGTGCTAAATACTTTCACGTTTTAAACATTTCAATGCTGCTATTGTATTCGAAATATATGTATTTAATAAATGCCAAAATAATGTGACAATGTAAAAGGGTTCATGTGTAATTTTCTCCATACCTAAGTGTTTTAGTATAAAATTACATAGGTAGGTATATCCTATATTTTTTATAACTTGTATAATTCATATAATCAACGTTATTTAAACTGCCTTCTATAAAATATAGGCAAACTATTTTGTTCACATTATTTGAAATAAATATTTTTATATTTCTGTTTATGTGTCGTGGTTGAGACGACTTGGTTTAAGCGGGAAAACCACGGAACAATAGCTAACACAATGATTTATTGTAAATTAAATTTTGTATAAGTTTAATTCTATTAGCTACATATATTATTGAAGAATACAGAAAAGTTTTAAGTAAAAAGAACTTATTTTTTATTTTTCTTTTAGATGTCATAACTTTTCTCCTGCTCATTTACAATAAAATAACTTCATTGAAATCTGATAGACCTGTTAGCCAGTTTCAACAACACATAATTTCCACAACAAATAACTATAATTTCATTATCTTTTCTGAGTTTCGTGGCTATCCGGAGATAACTGGTTCTTGTATACTCATAAAAATAGTATAAAATTTAAAGCATTAACCTTGATCTTCTATTATAAGTATATTTTATGAATTATATGTATTTTATTCCTATGTAATACTCAATCGTTATTGATCCTTTTCTCTACCACAAAACTAAGAAAGTTAACTATATTTTCTGTGCTGAATGCACTTACGAGAATCATAAGCGGAAAAAGTAACTGCCTTTAACAAATGAACGTCAACAACAACAGAACTCCTAGGTTTCGAGGATCACGTCGATGGCGCTCTTAAGTGAGAGATTGGAAGTTGGGACCAACCAATGCGAATCGCTGTGTGGTCCTCAATGACTGAAACATTCCGAGTTAACTAGTGCAACAGAATGAAAACTCAGAAAAATATTGTCGTAATTCTTTAGAATCGTTATCGTTTAAGACTTTTGGTTTAACACTGATTTGTGCACGTAACAACAACGAAGATAAAATTCATAAGAACAATGTGATGTCATAGATTATTTTACATGACATCTATAAAAAATATCTTTATTATCTCAATAACTCTCAATATTATCTACATATATGACCCATGGTGTTTTTTATCAAATCAAGATTGATATGAATGGAACTTTTTCATTGCAAACTTAGTATATATATTTCGCGAGTTTAGAAAAAAAATGTTACTGACCATTCCCATGGGAAAATTGCATATTGCACTATCCTAGCAAAATATTCTAGTTTCTAATGTTACAAGCCAGAAATATGGTCATTACACTCATATGTACGTTGTTTTATGCTTATAATTTAATCCAGATTAGACCGAAATGTTTTTTTTTATTGTTCATTAACACAACATTAAAAGAAATCTCAATTTTATTATTAAAATAACTAAAAAAAAAATGCTCCTGATTTAAGTTTTTATAACACAAACCACAGGTTTGCTGTCAGTAACGATTGTAAAATTTAGATTTTTTTTAAATATTATGTTTGTTTTTAGATAGAATTGTTTATTGTTGTCACTATTTTTTATTTATGATATAAGAATATGTATGTAGTTGTTTAGATATTTGTAAGTTGTCCAAACAGAACGACATGTTTCGTTTTATGTAATCAAGTCCTTTAAATGAAATTTAAAAAAAACACAGGTTGCGATATAAATATTTATTGTGCAATTAAAATAACAATTCATTGAGGAAATCTAAAGTCTGTTCCCTTAAGATTTTCGTTTATCCATTTCTCCGCTTGGGCTGTCATTTCGTCGTCAAAGTAATCTCTCCATCCACCGACTTTACCTGTTAAAATTAGTTTTTTAGTTAGTCTACCTTATATTTCTTAAATTTCCAGTAGGTTTAAAAACATTTATTATTCTTACCTTTTCTCACAAATCCCCCTTCGTTGCTGAACAGGCCTTTATCTTGCATATCTTTATAATTTACCGATTTGTTTTTCTTAAAATTATCAAATTTAAGATGTTCCTTCAGTTCATCTACTTGGACATCTGTTATTTGCTTGTCAAAGAAATTCGCAACACGGCGAATTATTCCGGACAGATCCTAAAAGATAAATTAATCTATTGAGTTTTTTTTATTAGTTTTGTAGTTTATCTATGCAATACAAGTGCTTAAAATTTATTTTTTTAAAGTTTCTATATCCAAAATGTTATATAAAAAAATATGTCGTTAATTATATTTAATATGTTTTAATTAATAAAGCCATAGTAAAATAATAATATTAACCTTAGAGAGTTCTTCATAAAATAAAAACAGCATATTGGGATGGTTGCGTTTTTCCCAAGCCTCTAGAACACTGGCAAAGTATGGAGTCCAAGTTACTGTAAATTAAATTTATTAATGCCTATTTTATTATTTGAAATCAGTATTTTCAAATGAAAATTTAGAAACAACTTACTTTTACTGTTAATAAAGTAGTTCCAGTAAGTCTTGAAGTCTCTATCTGGCGCCATGATCTTCATAAGTTTGTAATGATGAAAGAAAGACACAGCAACATCTCGAGGATCACGGGCAACGTACACTACCTACATAAAGATATTATTATAAAATACACTAATTAGGCAATTAAAGTTATATTGGAACCTGTTAAGTACTATACCTTTGATTTTTCCAGTAAATTTGGCGGAAGTAATGAAAGAGGTAAATGAGATTTAATGAATTTTGGCGATGGTATACTTTTTATCTCATCTACCGTTGGTGGTTTTAGCTCCTTTGAAATAGCATATCTAGCATCGTCAGTTACAGGTTCATCAAACGAAAACATTGATGCCCTTAAAAATAGGAATATTTAATATATTAAGAGTAAAATACAAAGAAAATTATTAATTGGGTTTGTGTAACATAACTTACTCTAAAAATGGGAACCTATCATTTAAGCTTTTCTTTGCTTTTTCATAATCCAAATCATTCAATAACAACCACACTAGTTCTTGAGTCCATGTTGTTCCTGTGTTACACATTATTGTAATTTTATTAAAAAAAATAATATAATGTGTTTTTCGAATGAAATATACAAATGAGTTTGAATAAATACAATATTTTAAAAAAGTAAACATAGAATTAAGCGAAGAATATAGCGATCTCAGTAGGATTTCTGAGGAGAAGACAGGAGGTGAACAGAAGAGCTAAAAAATAAAAAAAGTAACTGAAAAATTACCAGATTTCGGAAAAGAGACGACGAATACATCATCAGATCTCAATGGAAAATTGTAAATATTGGCTGCCATGCACCGATCATACTCTCGTATTAGTACATATCCTTTGGGTCCAATTCGACAGTACTTTTTGGTTAAACCTAAATAAAACAGATTGGTTTAATTTCATATCGATCGATCATAGTTATTAAAAATATTTTAGCTGTAACAATAAACAGAATCTATAATAATAGATTGCAATGCAAAAGACTAGTCGTGTATATATTTATTATATTTTTTTTTATAGACCAACTAGTAGAGTTACATAAATTCAATTGGTAGCAATACTTTTAATTACCTTGTAAGTAATTCAAAAATTCTTCAGTTTCCTCCTCAGTAAAGGGTGTTATATCGTAAGGGAAGTTCAGTTCGGCCATCGCGACCACCAGCAGAGATGTCTCAACGCGACTAACACTAGGTACCTATGCATTTATTATTTTAGTTACGTTTATCAACACGCTATCGCTAAATCTTTATCTTTTTCTTGTATAATTCCATAAACTAGATTGGATTTGAAATCCTCTGACAGATGTTAACCATATAACAATACCTGATGCTTCAATAATTGCAATTGAAATATATTAATTATCATTATAAATCTTTTATTAAAAAAATAATATTGTCGTATTCTGTGCAAAAAATATGAAAGTTTTGTTCCAGGAAATTTGTTCCAGAGCATCTTTATGACCTAGGACTATGGGACGCAAAATAGTGGTACGTATTGCCCTCTCCTCGTAGGTTTAAAGATCAATACTCGGTTCCCCTGAAGGAGCGGGTATTAATCAGCGAAAAATCTCCGTTCCGCTACCTTCTTGACGGTAATGATTGATAACAGATGCAAGGAGTCACTTCTTTCTTTAAGATCATGTGCAGCTGTTTTCTAAAGCTACCGTCAAAAATCAGAATATAAGGATCTCGTATTTTTTCCATAATCCATCGGCATGCGGACGGACGGCAGCAACCCTGTAGCATAGAATCGCCTTCCTGGTTAAATCGTGACGACCCCCAAAGTTTAGTAATTTCACGAGACAACCAATATTCTCTTGTACCCATTAATAAGCAATATTTATTATGAAATAACTCCTTAATATATAACGACGTAAATTTTATACATTCATTACTATTCAGAAGCAAATTATTGGTCGGCTGTTCCATTCACATTATTTTGTTACCTTCTTATTTTGAATAGTGGATTATGGTCAACAAATTACATAATTACTGTAAAGTCTTTTTGTAGGCTTTCATACACAGCGCAAGGGACTTAAAAATGCAAAAAATTATGATCGAACAAATGTATGCTTCAAAAACTATAATTATGTAAAATAGTTTCCTTGTAACTAAACTCTAATAATATGTAAATTAATAAATCAAGACACAAGTCTTATAAAGTTAATGAAAACTTCATTTCTATAAAAAAAAACAATTTTAATTTAAATGAAACTAATATTTTTAGGATATACTACGAGTACATACGCGACTTAATTTTTGTAAAAAAACTACACAGGTACTCCCAACGTTTCGATTACTTTTCAGCAACTGTAATCACGGGCAGCCGGGATGTGAATGTGTCAGTTGGTCTTGTTATTTAAATTAAAATTTTAATTTTAATGTTTAGAAAAAACTGTTATTAATAGTATTTTTTATATTAAAATAGTTATAAAATATAATAATTATTGAGTATGTGAACATAACTTTAGGCGGAAGGAATAATGTATTGCGAATGTTCTTAGAGGAATCAGAAAGGTCAAAGATAAAGAGATTAAAACAATAATTTTATCAAGATTATATCTGTTTTATCAATTTCATAAGACATTTTTATCAATTTTATCTATAAAAAGTAGGCATTGCTTTACAAACGTAATATGAAACGTTTTTTAAAAGGCATTTTTGAGCTTGATAAAAGATTGCAATATCGTTCAATATGGCATATAAAATGTAGATAAGACAATTATTGAAAGACAGGTGCAGAAACGCCTTTCAATGCGATATAACTCTCCATAGTTTATCGCTATACTTTTGGACTGAAGACAGCTTTTTCTAAATGAAAAAAAATGCAAAATTTTACTAAATTGTGACAGCTAGATGCACGGTGGGCCTCCATCCTTTCGTTGTAGATCTTTCTCGTATACGAATCATACTCCCACTGAGCACAGCAAAGAATTGGAATATTTTGTCTCCCTCTGAATTTCAATACAAATATAATTGGGGCGTCCTCAGACCTCAAGAAAAGTGTGAATAGGCTATTATTTTGACAGTGCGTTCAACACCAACGACTTCATTTCTGCCTATCAAGAGGATGAATGATAGTCAAGCACTATACAGTCAAAATATATATAAAAAAAATTTTAACATTAGGAATTTAATGGAGTATAAATAGATATTTAACATATTAATTTTATTCCTAACATTAGAAGCAGGCCTGCTTCAGTAGCGTACACTCCATAGAGGAAAATAACTACAGCATACCATACCCATATAAACGTTAAACATACAAATATTTGATTCTTGATTTGGTAAAAGTGCCACCTTTCGATTCAAAATAGAGATATTTTCGAACATAATCAGTACTAGTCACTTGTTAGCCATAAAAAACTCGTGCTGTGCACAGAAAATATTTGTATATTGTGTAAAATTTATGCATGTGTTAAAGTTTGAAAGACACTGCATCATACAACCAGGTTAGTTAAAGAAGTCTTAAATTAATAAATCGCAGGAATTCGTTATGGGTAGTAAAATATTCGTTTTTAACGGTATACCGTTTAAAAATTGTTTCGCAATTTTGTTGTATACATTTTTTGAGCGCTAATAATTAAATTGTATTTATGAATAAAATAATTAGTCATTTTATGAACGATATTTGGAAAATTATAGCTGTGAGCTGTGCGATTAAATAATTTAAACACGGTCATACATTCTCTCAAACCCTACATGATATATCTGTGTATGCCCCTGGATTACATAAAAATAATCTAAAATGGGAATGAGGAAAGGCAGCAGCTAGCGAAAATATCAAAGAGATTATCAACCAAACCTCAACTTACCGTTTTCAATCCAAAATTTGTATCAAAACGTAATCGCCGCCAGTACATTAGGATGCGGAGCTATCTAAATACAAAGAGTTAATAGTGATAAGAGGTTCTTAGCCTACTTCAGTATATGAACCATACCTACAGAAAGTAGCTACGTACTAAGATAAATAGTTGTTTCTATGATTTAAACGTATGCCATCTAATTAAACGTAGCATTAGCATTAAAAAAAGAACATTTATACCTTCTTTGGTCTCAGCTTCAAAATCTTTAGTGATTGTGATCCTGTTGAAGCTAAGATTGCAAAGGTCCTTTTTGTCCGCGTCGACAGGTGTGGTATTTTTTGCAAGATTTTCATATTGAAATTATTAAAATGGACAATACATAAGACTGACATACCTATCTAATATATAAAATTCTCGTGTCACGGTGTTCGAACTTGAACTCCTCCGAAACGGCTCGACCGATTTTCGTGATCCTTATCGAGGATACTAACCAGGGGGGAGAATCGGCCAACATCTATTTTTCATCCCCCTAAATGTTAAGGGTAGTCCACCCCTAAATTTTTGTTTTTATTGTTTAAGCAAAATTTTTTGTTTTTATTTCTTTATGACACAGCCTACAAAAATACATACTAACCTAAATTTTCACCCCTCTAAGATCAACCCTTATTTTTTATTTGTTAATTACAAACTTAAAGATAAATAAGACATAATTTATTTCTTGACTGAGGCAGTACGAAGTCTGCCGGGTCAGCTAGTAATTCTATAAAATGCTTTATTTCTAATACAATGGCATCGTTCAACAATAATTAATCAGAGCTAAGTGAAAGAATAGTTTAATTTCATTGAGGGCCACTCTAGGTTAGATATAAACTAACAAAACCAATACGCACACTTTAATTAATCAGTGAAGTTAAAGCTGGCAAACTAGATGAAATAAATATTTTTATAACTTTTCATCATGAGAGCTTAATAAAATCTCGATATTATTTTTAAGCTGAATGCGGTCCAAAACAAGGTTGTTAATATAATTTTATTGATAAAACCCGTCTTCCTTCCTAAACACCCTTTAGAAAATACAGTTCCTATTTAAGAGTAACAAAAGATAAAATTACTATCATGTTATATGAGTTAACAAAATTTTGTTCACCGAAACTGAACTAAATCCCCCAAAAAGTTCTACCACATACTGAAAACAGGAACTGCATTTAAAAACAGATTTAAATTTTTTCTTCTTTCATAATGGTTTAATAAGTTAATTATGTTTTATTCACAGGACACGTATAAAACATTATCGGTCATGATATTATATAAAGCACATAAAAATTCTTCAAATGCAAGTAAACACTATATAACTCGTTCGTTGCATGTAACTTTGTTAGGTATAACTGGGTGAATCGTAATTAAACAAAAACAAAAGACGGTGATATAACCATTTATTTGAATATAATGCTATATATCATTATTTCTTTGTAACACCATGATATTTAAGTATACATTGACATTAAGTAAATGTTATAATAATTAAGTAATTTTTGTTACTTTGTTGTATTCCTATAATACGCATAAATCATAATTCCAATAAAACTATAAATAAAACGATGTCTCAGTCCTTCTTCACAATTTTATTTAAATAATACGGTTATACAAAGAAAATAAATTAAAAGCCAGATTTAAAATCGATCATTCGTCGGTAATATAAAAAATTCTAAACAGACTCATAGTAGTGAACGCGCCGCGCGCTGCCGCGACTCGCGCATCTATAAAAGCGACTCTATAATATAAAAAAAATTGGGAGGAGTCTCCCGCACCTAAACGTCGTTAAAACTATCATACACTTATAGAAAATCACAAAATTCAAGCGGAAAATAATAGGAATCGGTGAGCGTCTACGCGATGACGTCAGGCAGCAGCGTGTCGGCCGGCGGCGGGCTGGGGGGCGCCTTCAGGGACACGCCGTTGACGGCCGGCTCGGGGGACGCCTTCTTGTTGTCCACGGACTTCTTGACGGCGCGGGGAACGCTCTTCACACCACTGGGAGCCTACGTATTGAATATGCTACGTTATACTATGACAACGATTATGAAACAGTTAAGAACGTGACTCCGAAATATTCCGCAAATTCAAATGTCATAAAGCAGTACATACTTGAAATTGATTAACGTTTCGTATTTTTTTTAAGTCAATGATTACCTTAGCGGTGGCAGTCCTCGGCGGTGCCGCTTTAGCAGTTATACGTTTATTGGCGAGATCTTTACTCTGTTTGTCCAGGGGAACGCGGGCCGCCGGCTTGGGCGCTGCAGACCTGGAGAAGGACGAGAACGGTCAGTTAATAAAAACAACAGCGGATATTTACAATTGAATTTTGTAAAACATACTTGAGAGGAGCGGCGGCTATCGACGCAGGCTTGACAGGAGGGGCGGCTATCGGCGCAGGCGCTGCGGGGCGCGGTGCAGGGCGCGGGGCGGGGCGGGCAGCTGGCGCCGGCCGGGCCGCCGGCGCCGCTGACGGCCGGGCGGTAGTCGCGCGGGCAGCGGGCTTCACGTCTCCGTTCGTCAATGGTTTCGCGGGCGGCGCTTTAGGTTTAGTTTCTTTTGGTTTGGCTGCGGGGGCAGTCGTCGACGCCGGACGAGGAGCGAGCGTTTTCGCGGCAGCGGCAGGTTTCGGAGGTGCGGGCTTGGGGGCTGCGGGTTTCGTAGCAGGTGCCTTAGCAGCGGGGCGCGGAGGCACAGCCGAGCGAGCCGGGGCGGCCGCCTTGGCTGCAGCGGGCGCGGCGGTACGGGCAGTCGATGACGCGGCGGGTCGCGCAGCTGATGGTGCTGCGGGTTTCGTCGAGGGCTTGGATGCGGACGCTGGCCGGGGGGAAGGTCGTGGGGCCGGAGACGCCTTGGCGGCGGCGACGGGAGTGCGTGGGGCAGGGGAACGGGGTGTTGTCGTAGACGGAGTCGGGGCGAGCTTTTTGGTCGCGGAGACGGATGTTCGAGCAGCCGTTGTTTTGGAAGCGGTCTTGGGAGTGCGCGAATCGGTCTTCGGTGTGGGTGTCGTGGGCGATTTTTTGGTAGGCGAGGTCTTGGCTGCGGCGACGGCGGTGGCGGCGGCAGCAGCTGCAACCGCCGCCGTTGCTGCGGCGATGGGAGCGGCTCCGAGCTCGGTCTGGGGAGGCTCGACGGCTGGCGTGGGCGGCGGCGTGGCGGCGGGCCGGGTCGTCTCCTCGGCCTGGATCTCGTTGGTCACGGCCACACATATCTCCTGCGCGTGTGACTCCGGTATGCCGATGTCGATGTCCGTGACGAGTTCAGCTCGTGGTCGCTCGTCCGGCAGCAGGTCAGGGGCGGGCGCGCTCGTTTCGGTTATGGGAGCCTGCACCGGCGCATGCTCACTCGGTTCAAGATCGAATGCTTCCTGCGCCATTTCGGGTGTAAGTCTAGAGTAGTCTGTTTCAGGCGCGGGCACAGCTGGGACTGGGGAGGGCGCAGATTTTTCTTCTATTAATTCCACATTTTGTGAAGGTACGATGGACTCGTTTTGAGAAAAGGTTGAAGCTTCAAGAGGTACTTCACTCTGTGCGTTATCCTTATCAAAGAGTGCCGGATCCTCTGCCTTCAAAACATCGTTTTCATGTACATCCGACACTGGTTCAGGTGAGAGAACCACTTCTTGTTCTTCTTTATGTGTTTCTTTACATTCGAAGGAAGAGAGAAGCGATTCTTCTACTTTTTGCTCAAGTTGAGGTGATTTACTTAAAATGTCATCTTGTTTGTCCAATTTTTCAACTTCATCTGGAATAGGTGAAATATTTTCTGTCACGTTATCAGTATTTAATTCATCCTTTACCTCAAACATTTCGGAACTCTCTTGGATATCAGTCATCTTCTCAGATGTAGCATTTTGTGTATCTTCACTAACTAACAAATCCTTAACGGGCTCCTCCGGAACTGGAGACTCTGACAGCAAAGGAGATTCTCTTGGTAATGGAATCTCTGCAGGTTCGGGTTGTCTTTCATCCTGTGGAACTGGTGATAGTGCTTCTACAGGGGATTGTGAAGGCATTGGCGACTTTGTTGGTTCGGGAGACTCCACTGGTAAAAGGTTTTCATTTTCTTTCAAAGATGTAATGGGAGTTTCCATTTCTTCGAAAGGTTCATTAGATTCAGTAGGCAACGGCGATGTTACCGGTTTGACATCTGTTGGAACAAGAATTTCAGTTGGTAATGGTGATTCACACTTCAATGTAGGTTCTTGTTGTATTGGGGATTCACACGGTAAGGATTCTTGCGGAAGTGGAGATTGGCGGAGTAAAGATTCTTCTGGTAATATAGACTCTTGCTGTAATGATTCCTGTGGCACAGGTGACTCATTTAGTAGGGATTCTTGTGGCACTGGGGACTCGAGCGTTAATTTTTCTGTCGGTAATGGGGAAACTGGCAGTGAAGATTCTTGCGGCATAGGAGACTCACGCTGTTGAATTTCTTGAGGCACTGGGGAGTCACTTGGTACAGATTCTCGTGGCGCAGGAGATTCGGGCTGTAAATTGTCTTGAGGCAATGGGGAACAAATCGGCGAAGATTCTGGAATTAGTGGAGATTCACGAGGCAAAGATTCTTGGTGTACAGGAGACTCGCAAGGCATTGGAGACTGTCGCTGCATGATGGGCTCCTGCATTACAGGAGACTCACTGGGAACAGGAGACTCTCGCGGCAAAGGAGACTCTCTTAACAGAGAAGACTCTTGCGGAATCGGAGATTTTTGAGGCAGAGGAGATTCTCCAAACAAAGAAGTCTCCTGCGGAATCGGAGACGTTTGCGGCAAAGGAGATTCTCCAAACAGAGAGCGCTCTTGCGGCATCGGGGATTGTCGTGGCGACGATAACTCTTGGGGTACTGACGTTTCTTGGTGTGATGAGAACTCTGCTTGGAATGTACTCGATTCATTAGGCAAAGGCGATTCACTAGGCACAGGAGAAGGCGACGCGTTTAGAGATTGTGATTTCAAATTATCCACAACTTCAAAGTTATCATCTGCTTCAAGTTTGATTTCTGGAATTTCAGCTGAACACTCCTTCTCTTGACCAGTACTGTTATCGTCAAGTTTAAGATCTAGTTCTACGTCCTGGGACAAGTCTTCTTCTTGTGGTGTAATTGCTCTGACGTTACTTTCGCTTTCAGACGGATCTAACAAATCTTCGTTATTAAAACCTAATTCTGAACTCTTACCATCTGGTATTTCGGGAATTTGCTCAAAGAGAAGTTTATGAGATTCTGGCGTGTCTGTTTGAGCAACTGTTTCTTGTTGATTAATGCAGTCATATTCTGTGTTGTAACCTTGCATATTATTGGTATTATTGATAGTAAAGTCAACAAAATTACCTAAATTTTGAACATTATTCGCTACAATGTCTGATCTATCATCAAATCTTAAAATATCATTATTTGGTTCATCCAAATTTTCATTAAGACTAAACAGATCAGATTTCTCGTCGGGGCACAAATTTTCTTTATCCTTTTCATTTTTAACAAGGCATATTCCATTTTGCTGAATATCTTCCTCGTCACTTTCAGGGAGAGGTTGGACAGCATTCAGATCAACATTAGATTCAATTTTCCCGAATCTTTCACAGGTGTCATCATCCTTCTCCTGATAGAAGCTCATGCTCATTGGATCCCTTTCTTTATTCTTCAGTCTTTCAAACAGTTCATCATCTCCATGATCGCTAAATGGATTTGACTCTGTGTGGGCTTGGAATACCTGAAATTACATTTTAATTATGCTTCATTACAAATATATTTAATTGATAATGTAACCTGTACAATCAAATATACCAGATGATTGAAACTTCTATGAATATAAAGAAAATTGAATAAATTATTTATTTAATTTTGGAAATGTAGTGAATTTAAAACTAGTTTTTACAGAATTTTTGAGTCTCTCAAACAGCCCTGTGATGTAAATGAAATACTAATATAGCAATTATTTTTAAGCTTTCAATAAAAATATTTTTTTAATTTTTATGTTTGTAGTTTTGTTTTTTAAGATTACCTATAATATGAGATTCTGAAAATATTTTCATGTGTTAATCTGTAATCTTTCAACTTTAATAGTCATTTAAAAAAATCAAGTATATTATTATTAAACATTCAACTTTTCCCAAAACATTTTTAATCACTTTATGACTCAATATGACTAAGCCAAACATTATTATAAAATATTCTTTAAACTGAGTATTTCTTACAATGATGTCTTTATCCTAGGTGTGTATGTAATCTTCCCTTTTTAAATTAATCTGATACCAAAATTTTTTAACTATTCATTGAATTTTTATCTTTTTCATAATAATTATATAAAATTTATCAACTGTAAAATTAAATTGTCAGAGTTGTTGTTCTCAGTAATTGCAAATTATATTTACAAAAAGATCAAACAAAAAGTTCCATGTATAAAGCTTGTGTTAAATAAAAATAGTTATTTTATGTTAAAAAGGATTAAAAGTTGTAATTAGATTGTATTCAAAGTTGTGAATATGTTATGGCATTGCTAATACTTAATTGAAACAACACTTAACTAAAAATGTAATTACCTTTATTTTAAAACCTATCAATAGTGTATGTTTTGTAAGTTCTCCTTATAAACAAATAAATAAAATACTTAAACTATGTCATGTACAGGTAAACTATATTTTCTTTATAAAATATTCTGAAGTGATTAAAATTATGAATAAGCATAACTTTATATATATATACAGAGGTAAAAGTGTATTTAAGATAACATTATATTGAAATGAAATTATTCACTTATAGCCAATATATGTACAATATCTGTTTAGACATGTGTCACTTGTTATGTTAAATATTTTAAAGGAAAATTTAATTTTATTCATTTCTGTATTACTTATGAATATTATATATACTTTTGAAGTAATAAAAAACTTCACTGACCTGGATATTGCAGAAATCTGTAGTATCCTTCTGTATCCTCTCAAACTCTTGTGTGAAAATTGTTTCATTTTGCTTCTGGTCTATTCCCACATTAAAACCAAAGCCCATGCTATCCATTTCATTTTTGTCGCCGTTTGCGTGTTCTATGACACCCTCCATAGAAATATTCTGTAATAAATGTCCACTGTCAATAACACTCCACATATAAATAAAATAATAATGAAAATATTAAAACGTATAAATAATTTTAGTATAACAGAACTCACATGATGTCCATTAAGTTCACAGTCTTGTAGTTCAGCCGGTCTAATAACAGCTTCGGTTTGAAACTGTTGTTCATCAACAAGTTCTATGTCATCTATGGGTAGAGGTTTGCGAGGTGACTCGGCCAGTAGAACATCCGATCCGGCCACACCGCCGGGGACAAACACTGGCGCATCAGGGTTCAAAGGAGAACTGTTCATGTCTGCGGAACTGCTCTCCCACGTAGACTGAATAGTTATAGGATTTGTTAAGAATATTATTATTATACAACTCAGAACAATTGAAAATGAACAAGTCTTGGAACAGATAGAAGCTTGGCCAAATGTTACAAGGAAGTGCTGGTAATATGATTTAAATTACTTTGTATATGGACAAACTTATGAGGAACAACTGAAATTGCACACTTTATTTCCTGTTACACCAACAAACATTCACATCTGTATAAATTTATATACAAATAGTATATTAAAAACATGGCATTTCATAGAAAGTGTTGATTCAAAACATAGCACATATTTAGCGTCAAACGATTAATTCTTCTTTAAAAACCTTTATACATTATAAATTGATATTAAGTATAATACTAAGAACAATATATAGTTTTACTGAAGTTAGTCAGTGTTTATGTTCTACAAACTCACATTATCCTGACAAGGTGTTTCTGAACGAGGTATTTCTCGGTCCTCTTCGCTGGTAATTTGTTCACGCTCGTGTTCGCCTTCTCCTTTATAGTAATTCCACTCGTCTTCGGACTCCTCGCCACTCTCAGCTACATTATCCACCAAGTTGCCATCAACGTGGCTCGAATCCACTGTTGAAATGAATTAGCCTGTTACTTGTATGTACTATATGTAAGCACAAGGTGATCACGCGATGCTACCCTCTCAGTCTTTCAAATCAACAGGTGTTAGACACACCCTTATTTGAACACATATCATAATTAAATTACTATCTAGACATAGACATATTAGTCCCACGAGAGTAATACTTTCAGTACCTAATATTTTTATTAGGTCGACAAAGCCACATGCCAGAGCCGATATACACCGGTCGCGATTTTAAACTAGCAAAAACATTACGGACGCCATTTCAAGTAAGACTCGTAGTCACCACGCCCGGCTCCTCAGGAATTGATATTTAAGTAGTCAAAAATATGCCACATAACCCACGGACTGCGAAGATCCTTTAGCAGACCAAGGAGGGATGCGCCTCAGTGAGACCGATCTATTTCCAGAACACTGCTCAGCATGAATCAACACAGAAATAACCATACACTGACTATTTTGAGGGTAAATATTTAAAAATATTCATCAAAAAATCACGTACCGTAAACGGTAAACAGCACTGCACTTATTATCGTATGAAAATAGCGTGTTTTAGGAGTTAAACAGCAGACAATAGCCGATTCACTGTAACTGACAAGTCAGTAAGGAGATATACAGTACCCAAGAACGTTCGATGTACGACTGATGGCCGGTTGGCGGCGGCGGGCGGGCGAGGGGGAGAGGTGAAGGGTGAGGAGGGAAGAACGCGGCACGGGCCGGCCGGTGAGAGGGGCGCGCACTATTCAGGGATGCCGGCTCGTTATTATGGGTATTAAAATTATTTATAACTTTTGCATATAATCCTCTCTGCAACTACTGACAGACTATATTTAATATTATATATATATTCATGTGTTAGATATTATTATGACAACAATTTCACTTCTAATATGTTTAAATATTTTTTCTCGTACAGCTGTGGTTTTGTAATGATAAATTTATGTGCATGTAAATTGTTCAGGATAAGGAAAAACTATATTAGAGTTTTATTTAAGATAAGCCGAGTTCATATTAGTTTTGTTACAAAATAATGACATTTGTTTTAAAAATTTCTTCATACGTAAATGAAAAGGTTGCGATGACCTCGACTTATCCAAATGCCCCCAAGTCACTTCTGTACCAAGGTCAGCTATTTAAACTACATATTAGTCGGGCAGTTACAGTCGCATTGATAACAATTCTTACACACTAGGATAAAAAATATATATCACTAGATCGAATACGGCTAATTCATAAATAAATATTACTTATTAAAATAAAGTTCAAAATAAAAATACCGTTTGATAAAATTCTTGTAGTTAATAAGATAAATCAGTAAAGGATAATGCCAGGAATTTTGTTTGTTTGAGGAAGAAGATAGCGTTTCTTTTCGTCCGCTTGCAAGGAAAGTCTAGAAGACTGTTTGTATGATCATTCTGATTTTCCGATGATAATAATTTAGATCTAGGATTTCAGTGCACACAATCTACTTCGTTTATCCTATATAGTAGTATAGACTGATTAAGTCAGTGGTGGCCTAGTGGTTAAAAGGCCCGCCTCTCATGCACGAGGGCGCGGGTTCGATGCTGGCACGGGCAAGTACCAATGTGATTTTTCCGAGTCATATGTACTTTCTAAGAGTATTTACACATCACTGATTAATGCATTCCCAAAAAAAGAGGGTTGATGTCAGGCAGGCGGCCGGTCGTAAAAACAATTAGCCAAAACTATTCACAACATGTAAGGCAGACCCTGGCTCAAGCTGGGAAATTGCTAGGTAGAAGAAGTAGTATAGGCTGACTACTTTTGAAGTAAAGCCTCGGAACTGCTCTCCTATAATACTAACCCGTGTGTTGTGTTTCTACAGGCGCGGCTTGCTCCTGGTTCTCTTCCATGTCCAAGTCTTGGTCCACAGCCGTCTCCGGACCGAGGTCGTCACTGTCACTATCAGAGACCCCGTTGTCTGGTATACACCCACCACCCTCTAATACCTTACAAGCCTCATTCTCCACTACAAACGGTGGTGGATTTACCACCGCGTTCTCCAGCCTGTATAAAATTATATATTTTAATATCTTATTTAAAATTTAATGTCTGGTAGAAATATGATAGGATTTATCCGTCTTTCGAATAATGTACATGATTTATATAAACGTATATGTAGTGTATTTATATGAGTATAGTTTTATACTATAAAATAAACATGAAACAGTTTGAAAGTAGGACTAGAATTAGTGTTAAATATATAATTGGGGAAAATTGTGCACTTAATAAAAAATAAAATAAAATATTAAAACCAAATATTGTAAAAAAAGTTAAAGCTACTTAACAAACTGCTTGTATGTATACTTACGTAATTTGTCAGTGCTTGATATACTAATTAATGCATCTAAGTATTTTATAACAGAAATTTACTACACGGCTCGGAAACTCCACACTTTTACACATACAACATAAAAATTTTGTTAGACAACAAAGCGCAGAAGCCATATTAAAAAAAGGGGTGATGCTTTGTATAGAAAATAAAACCACAAAAAAATTATCCGTATGTTGTATGTATTACGTATTTAAGGGCTTAGTTTGAGGGTCGAAATGTTGAAATAGAATTTATGTCATTATTAAATGATCATACTTTTCACGAATTCTCATACAATTTCAATATATTGTAATGAGTAGGTATGTAGTTTATAAGGCATTGAAACAGGAATGAAGGCAGCTGATATTTTATGAAGTAGTAAACAGATAACAATAATTAAATAACTCGATTCCTTCTACAGAAGTCGTGTTCACGAGAAGACGAAATAAAAGTGTATATTTCGAATTTAACTTCGAATAATTTTGTTATAATTCTGATTTTATATATTTTTTAATATTGCTTGATCTATTACCTTTTTTCCCTTATATCCATTGTAATTAAAAACTTTAATAAAGATGGTTGGCTCGTATCCAACACCTGGAATCCTCTTCCCAAACAAACATGTCCGTAACTAGATGCAGTTAAAACATTCTGAATACATCTGAATATATCTGCTCTTATCCAATACTCTATTAAATTAAGAAACCCTTGGAGGTAGATGAAAACAACAGCAACTGACAGACACTTTTATTTCGTGTACCCATGATCACGGTAATAAAGTAACATCATAAAAATTGCATAGTTAATCCGTATCCTATAGTTATTTGTATATGTATGTTGAATACTACATACCCAAGGTCCATGGGCGGGCAGTCAGCGGCAATGTCACGCGGGTCCTTCAGGAACACCACGATAACTGTGATATTGTCTTGGGATTTATGCTCCTTGGCCTGTCTCACTAGCGTGTTCGTCACCGCCTTCACGTCATCTAGAACAATTATATAATATAATATAATCATTAATATTAGAATAATATAGTCGATGTGTCATCTAGAACTAAGTTTGTTGCAAACTCTATTATGTCTGTAATTCGTTGCGGCACAATGGTGCTCGCAACGGACGGATGTGGAGCAACGATGTTTATGTTTCCATTTGCCACAGCTTAGACAGAGAGGACGTCCTTGTTCAGTCTCAAGTCGCATGACTCACATTTTCTATTGTCCCCGTTCTAACCTTTTCTATGTGTCAGATACTAAACGATCTAAATTGAATTTCAAATTAACCTTTATCACGTGTCGGGATGAATACGGGCGTCAAGAAAAAACCGGAGCGAGCTTTTCGCTAAGTACTATCGACCCGGTTCCGTTTTCAAACTCCAGGACCATCGTGAAACGATTATTTTACATTGTGTGTTGCGTGAAAGTAGCTTTTGTTTTTACGGGTCAAATTGCGTCATTGTTCTAGAAATAGTAAGTCATGTAAATAAAATGTAATTAGGTTTTTTGCTGTATAATGAAACACTCCCGTTTGAAGGAGCGGCTTAATTGTTTTGGAATATTATCCTTTGGAGGTATTAATATGATGTTCTAGCGCGATCTGGACGACATGGGCCGCGAGGTATAGCTACACGCCTTGACTTTGCCCGCTATTTCGGGGCGCGGTCATCGCCACCGCCCTTTGCCTTTTTATCCGTTTTGTCTGGATCGTTGCCAACCACGTCTAGCATCGTCCTATCAGATACTGACATGTATGACTATTAATATAATTGATACATAGTTATTTATATTCGTCACCTATAGATTTAAATGACACAATAAAATTGTAAGGTGTCTATCGATACCACGTAAGAAATTTCATACTAATTTACTCCTTATAAGTAACAATAAACATAATTAATTCACAGGTGTTGTGTGGACTATGAATCACGAAACTCAACTTTTATATTTCTTGATTTATTCCTAACTTTAAATGCAATTATATAAAATACACTTATTCATTCCTAGGAATAAAATGAATAAAGACTGTAAAGGTATTAAATAACTTTAAATTCATTCATTAAGTTCTGTATTGTATATATAGATATATTCTTTAAAAGGCAATAGGCATAGTAAAGACGATGATTGCATCGATTACTATGGTCAAAGTAACGGTGACACGGTTGGAATGTGCCGCCGCCGGCTATTGTTACAACAGCACAGACAAAAACGGATTACCAATAGATACAAATGCACCTGTACCGTAATAAGTAATGAGGGAATTAATAGAGTTGCATTAAAACGAGATATACAATATAAAAAGTTAGGTCTAAAGAGGTTCAGTGTATGTACACATATAATACTCTAGACTGTATTGTACATGGGAAAGGTTGGAACTGTAATGGGATTGACAAATAAGGGGAGGCTGGGAGGTGAATTGAGTACAATTTTACGGTAGGTTCCTCTATTTAGCTGCAATTTACGACTAACAACGAAACTGAAGGTAATGTCTTCATTATTAATACTCATGTCGACTAGGAATAATATAGTCATACAATAATAGATACGAGCATTTATATTTGTTTTAATATTATATTAACATTCATTTGATATTAGTTAATCATTAAAAATAACCACGACTTATAAATAATATATTTAAAATTAAAATATAAAAAAGATTCAGGTACATTCATATTAAAGTAAATAGGAAAAGATTGCTTTGAGGGGCGAGTTCAATTTCTGTGCCTGAAAAGTAAGGGAGGCTTGCCCCCGCCGGCTTGCACTCCAAACTTCAACCAACTATTCAGCTACTTGCACAGAAGGTTCTATATATAATCACATCCATATAACAACATATTCTCAACAACCAACTAACTACATTAACTAACCTGCACTTTAAAGAAAATACATATGAAGAAATGTTATTTGAAATTTCATCTCAAATAGATGTTATGAATTGATTGCACCATTCATAACATTCCATTATCATCCAAAGAAATAGATACATCATAATATCGACGCATTTAAACGTAAAGGAAGTAATAAATCCATCAAACGGTATCAAATCAAAATAGTACATATAATCAGTTGCAAGCAATTGAAATTTGAGGCAAGTTAGAAATTGCTCGCGTGTATAACGGGGAGTCGAATTAGATTCTGGACTAACTATATATAATACATCGAGATACTCGTTGCATCACATACATTGATTTAAAATTATCAGTCGACTGGTTACAAAATTAAATAAATCAGTACATAGAGTGTTTTTAATTGGATCAGAACCACTCGTAGTGTGAAGTGTTAATTTAACGCAAGCCAATGGGCTTAGAGATCGCTGTGAGGGGCTGATGTTTACAGACACATTATCTTAGGAAAACAAAATAGCCACTTAACGGACGTCGGCATGTCTACGTAGCGAGGCCTTCACGTCGAGACTCTAGACACGGACAAATAGAGGGCATCTCATGAGAGGGCTTTCAAGGATATATCTTATAACAGATTTCTTACTTTATACTCTTATGGTATTGATTTACTTCACGACTGTTTTCTTTTTAAATCAACTAAAAATTGAATCCAAATAATTGCTTTCTCAGCTAAAATAGTTATAATTTAAAATAGCATTTTTGTATCGATACTGTTGTTAATACATGTCATCGAATTCCAAAATCATACATACATATAGCCAAAATTTATATGTAAAAGTCTGCTGCACTATTAGCCGTATATACATGATGTATATACGCTTTCATCAGTTGACCGTTAGTTTGCCAAAGGGTACGGAACTCGGAAGAGTTATAGAAAATATAAATGGTATAAACTCTGCGACCTGACGTTCTCTAATTAACGCTCAAGCGCCAGTCGCTTCGCCGCACTACGGCTGCCTACAAATTGAAAGGTAGCCCTATGTCCGCAGCTTTTTGAAAAATGAAATAGAATGAATAAAAAAATCTCACACTACATGAGGGCATACGTCTGAAAAAGTGGATTTTTTTTTCCAAGAATATTTATTTCGTATACATAAACCTTTCATTGCAGATGGATATAACATACAGTCTTACTTTAATTTGTAAGTTTATTTATCTAAATGACTATAATTGACTTCATTTTAGTTTTTGTATAACGTAATCGCTTCAAATAAAACTTTCTTATACAAAATAAAAATAATAAAAAGAAAATATTGTAGAGTATAGTGACAATGCGTTTACTCATTAAAACTTATGGCACGCGTCAACCAGACCACTTAAAACAGAATGTGGATGTTGCACTAACTGCTGATCTCACAGTTAAACAATGCGACAATGGACGGCAAACATTCAAAACTACTAAAATTACAACAGAATTTAACAGTCCGTGTGAAAGATGAGAATCGGGTCGAACGAACGTGGGACACGGGAAACAATTCGTGTATACATATTATATACAACTTTTCCTGTATACATATCAATTCATTTATTATTAGAGTTTCCGCTGGTAATACAATCTTGAACATATTCCATTTGTATACGATACATAATTCTATCTTAAACTATACAGCCGCTCAATTTTTTATTCAATAATATCACGTACACTGTATAACCGTCTAGTCTAGTGTTACTTATGCTTTGGATTCTCCGGCCATCGATCAGTCCAGGATTACTCATGCTTGTAATAAAGTGTTCATCGTGTGTAGTATTCAAACATTTCCATATCTTACCAACTACAGTGACTATAATTCAGTAAATTGTTTACATTATTATATCAAAAAGACCGTACATTCACAACGTTTATTTAATTTATCATTGCTTTACAATGTGTTAACGTGTTTTTGGAAGCGAAATATAAAGACAGCAGAGCATCTGCCAAAATAAACAGTTTCTTTGCGAGAATGAAATCAGAATTGGCAACATTATTATATTTCCTTAAGTGAATACGAAAACCTTCAAAAAACAATGTGATGCATCAATTCGTAGTTTGGCAAGCATTACCATTTTAATTTATATGAAAACAATTGATATTCTCCGATAAAAAACAACAATTTAATTAATTTTAACACTACACTCTTTATCTGTGTATCTTTTTAATAAATTCTCAATATCGATTTTCACTCTAATACAACATATTCCTGGTAAAGATAACGTTATTGTTATTCGTACTGCATTATATTGGGCTCACTATCAGCTTTTATCTATGCGAATGCACAAAGCCGTATATAAAAAAATATCTTCGTATTGCTCAGTATTAAGTTATAATTGCACGTGACATTAATATTATAAATTAATATATATTAAATTAAAGTACCGTCTAGTTTAATATCACGATTTCCTTTAATCTCGTATGTAATAGGAAGCTATGTATAATCACGTGTCCCGGACGGCGACCTCGCTCGCTAGACGAATAGAAATTATAGCTATGCGATACTTCAATAGATAATATATATATCGAATAGTTCGCGTCATACATTCAAGATCATATAAAGACCATTTTTTTTATTAATAAAACCTTTGAACTTTTTATAAACCATTACATCACCATTACAGTCGGAATTCATAAGAAATAATGACACAGAAAACTTTCTATGTAAGTGATAAAATTTTATGAGGCATCTGTTATATTTTTCGCCTTAAATAAGCAGGGAATAAATTTTAATGTATGCGTTTTACAGATAGAAATCTATTTACTTATGCAAATCTTTCCTAATGCAAATCCCGTGTACTGGAGTACATTTTAATATATGTATATCGGAATGACGGGGTCAGTCGGGAGATAAAAATAAAAAAGGTTCTTTAACAATACAGTGGAATACTCGAGCATTTATTTTTGTACACGGATAAAAAAATACGCTACAATTTTTTGATTTTTTTATATACCTTTATAAGAAGTAAAGAGGAATTATTTTTATTGCATAATAACTGTACTGTTAGCGAATTAAAAAGAAATGTACGGTAAATAAAACCGATAAGATAAAAAAGGGACGTAAAAGAAATGACTCAAAACAATTTTGAAATGAGTCACGACAATTTATAAAACACTCGAAATTAATAATAAAAAAAGAAATTTATGTTAAACTGGCAACAGCTGGCAGAAAAGAAACTGATATACAGCCGTTTACGCGATTACATGCAAATTATGATTTGCATAAAAATGCAACAGTCTTGTGATGCCAATTTAATATCTTAATCGCTTTTAGTATGTTACGCTTTCACTCCAGCATTGCAATGGGACTGTACGAGTGCGCAGGTCTGTTCTCATCTCCTGCTGCAGGCTGCAGTGCGGTGTTTCATCATAACATCCCAGACGGCCAATCAAAATCGTTATTTCCGAACCAACATTCAATTAACTATTTGTAATTGGTCACTGGACGTGTTGGATATAGACGTTGAAATTAAAACTAACGTCGAAAACAGACATTAATTCACTCATGTGCAATGATGCGCCGTTTCTTTCGAACGAACCACAATACGAATGTGTTGCAATTTTATAAGACACTTTAACGCGTTCGATGACCCCACCAGTTAAAAATACATTGTCTCCCGCCTACGTCGGGTCAAGGCTCAGGGTTATTCCTATATTGAAAATTTTAATTATACCTAAAACTTAACAATGATAATTGGGGTATAACTAACGAGTTAGTGCGATTTATCTAGACAGAAGTGGTATAATAACATTATAAGATGTCAACAGAGCGTTAAAGTTCAAGACATTATCGTCAAACATAAAATACTAAAGTCGATTTTGTAATAAAATAAATAAAATGTTAATATAGAAATATATTTTGCTGTAAAATCCCTCCAATAGTTCGGTAAATCCAATACCGTATTATAATAGACATCTCAGGTGGATATCGAGTAATAGGAGACTGGAAATAGATTAAAAGCTATCATGTCGTGAATCTGTGGTACGAGTCATCACGACGTAAATCGTGAGAGTCAAAAGACCAGATAAAGTTCACAGAACAAGCCTGTCTCTGATGTGGAACATCTGCTGCACTTCCTTAACCATTAACATGGATACGAATTGAGATATCGACGAACACACATTATATGTTATTTATTAGTTACAGTACATACTGAATGTATTCAATACAAAAATTGATAATTATTCTATTTTCAATATTACGTTGATGTCATAAAAGGTTAAAATCTGACAAAAACTATGTCATAATTGTAATGTAGAAATATTATAACGTTCGTAGATTTTTAATCATAGTCAAACATAGGCCTTAAAAATAATAGTAGGTATAGTCTTTGTTTGATGTTTGCATGAAATCCTTGACCGGAGCCGGTCCAACGTTCATATCGACCTTGAATCTCAATGCAAAAATGCCGAGCCGTTTAAAATTCAAGCCGAAGATTGAGAATTGTAAATAGAAAACAATATTCGACGTTCATATATAGATAGAGATTCAATATTCTGCATGTCTGTCGATTTGTTAGTGGACTTTCACGCGTCGGCGTCTGGTGCGCCCGCTGCGACGCCTGCGCCTCCTTAACATACAATCATAGGAACCTACTCGCAACCGAGTCTCGGCACAATGCCCTGAGCCGGCCCACATTGCGATTATATGACTCACCGACTCCGGCGCCGCCATACGGGCTTGTTTACAATTGACACGATTAATGACACTCACCAAAACCGGATACTTATACGTAGCGTGGATTTCACATAACGCATCAATCAGATCGAAACAATTTGCTCAACTAATGACCGTTTATCAATTGGTGATATCGTTGTACAACTGTCATAAGAACATTTCACTAGACGTAATGAAAAAAAATGTATGTCTAATATGTTGGCAACTATGTAATGATTCTATTAATATATTTCAGTTATATTTAAAATCAAACACGATTTTAAGAAAACGTGTTTCTGATTATCGTGATTTCAAAAAGGTTAACACGCGATATTAAACAGACTGTAAAATTCTATGTCCATCAGACTGAACTATACTTACAGTTCTATGTATCTTAATATTGAGTCATAATACAAATGAAACATGTACTTGATATATTGAACATATGACAATAGGACTATGAAATTCGAACTGAAAAGGTCCATTAGGAATCAATGTCTCAGTTATAAAGGCGGGCACACTTATCACGGTTCAATAGAGCAAAGAAACATTAAAGGCAGGTAGTTATATTATACAATTTGTATGCATAACATATGAGTTTGAAGTACGAATTGAGTAACAACTTAAGAAAGGACGGCGTTGAGAAATTTATAGAATAGAATTAAATCCTTCGATTGAAACACTCAAAGATGACTCAGAACTTACCGAGTCTGTGTAATTGTAATTCAGAGTGCAAAGCGGTCACGTTAACAAAACCATTTGGTGAGATCGTTAACATCTCTTGTTATAAACACTATGTATGAATAAGATACAAGTACGAATATATGGAACTATTTTTATATTGAAATATATATGTTACGCATATACAACGTATTTATTTGTGATCCCTAATGGACGTCTACAATTAAAACAGCACGTTTTATCTCAATTACTTTAGCATTTTCAACGACTTTCATAACATAGATATTAAAACTTTTATATTAACGTCAGTATTAAAATTCAAATGTACGTTAAAATAAATGATGTCAAGTAGAAGACAAGAGGAAAATGGTTATAATACGCCACGTATATTATATATTGAAACTTTTCTGTTAATTTATAATTATATTATATAAAATAATCTTTTTTTCTGGCATATATGAAACATGTCTTATAATGTCTATTTATAGAAGTGTTATAATCTTCCACGATAAATATTAGCAGTGCCAAGTTAACGAATGCTGATTAAGGAATTTAATCTCAGCAACATCTCACCAAAGATAACCTACCCTCTTTAACATATATAATTAGCGAGCCATATTCAGAAATACGGATAACAAGAAAATTAATGAATATTCTATACATAAATATAATATATAATTCATACAAAAATACTGTAATATTTATATCAGCTTTTAGAAAATAAAGACAATCGTGTGAGAGTTTGGTGTTTTCAAAACAATTCCACTGAAGTATGAGAATTATAAACAATATTATATAAAATGATCCAAATTGAATTATATAAAAGTTAGTGGAAAAACCGTTATGAGCTCTGTCGGTCTGTTAATTGTATACACGAATACCAAATGGAAAGTCGTTGAAATTATTACAGAATATATTTATATACAATAAAACAGAGATATAAATTTATTTCATTTTAGTTATAAATACTTATTTACATCAATAAAAACACTCTGGTCAGCTTAAATCTTTCTTAATTATTTCATTGAATCATGCAAAGCCAGGAAGCGAACTAGTGTTATAAAAAATAAAAGAGTCTAAAATACTTAATTATAGATCAGCTATATTATTACATTGTTATAAAGTAATCTAACATAATAATAATTTGGCAAATAACTCAATCACATAGTAAATTAATTGCTGTTTGTTCTCAACGAGGTTAAGAGAAATCGATCGTAACTAAAACTAGAGGTCGTTTAAAATATAAATAATATTATTCTTAATTATATTTTAGTTAGAAATCTTTTAGTTTTGTAAATAATATATTCTCTTCTTGGTTTTATTGCATTATTTTATCTTGATCTTTGTCTACTTCATAATTAGACATTAACATAATAGTGTTTTATAATCCGTTACTAAAATTTTTCATACAATGAATTTTATACGATTTTTTTTATAAATCGTTAGTTCATTGACCTCTCAACCGTTCGTGCGATATCGTTGAAAAAACGTCATAATTTGCGATAACACGGAGTTTATTTTTTAAAACTACACGAAGGTGACAAAACTAATAGATTTAGACGATTTTTTTTTATTATTGACATTATTATTGATATTAAAGATTTATATAAAGTTATAAACCTATAAATAAATAATCCATATTCAATAAAGTTATCAAATGTAATCGCAACATTTTTCCGCTGAAAAGTAATGCAATTCATACTAAAAAATTCAATTCATATCAGTAGTAGAAGCGACGGCCTCACTATAAATCATCGACCCACACAAAGTTAGTATACATTAAAACGTGTGGTTTCAGACAATGGTAATGAATAAATCTAATAATACAGAAGACTCGCAGAAACATTACATTAGAAACTTATCATTTTTATTATCTCCATTTAAAAATATATTATATATTTACCGTAAATCGTAAACCAATTTAATAAACAGCATGACTGGCATCACCATAGAAAGTGCTATTAAGAAATTATATTGAAACAGAAACGCGATTGTAAACCGACACTGGTCATAACGATCTAGTTTCAAAGGAAAATCTCTCTACAATATATATGAGGACGGAAATAACGCGGTTATAGCGCTCTGTGAAGAGGTTCTTCGGAACGGAGAGGGAATCGAGATAACTACAGCTGCAGTGTAATGCTGAAGCAACGCCGTGGAGGGGAGAGAGCTATATATAATTATTTAGCGAGAATCTTCGTCATGAACATTATTTTGCATCACAGATTGAATTCAAAATCTACATATACCACATACCTGTGATATTAATACACATATTTTCATAGTTAAAAATAATTACAACTTTGAATTAAAATATAATTAAAAGTCTACGGAACAGAAAATAAATTTAAAAGAATTATTTTCTATACAGTAGGTACCTAGCCAGACTTTTCGGCTTAACGAAGTTTCAAGTACATTTTGTAGGAATAAGGAGAGTTTCGTTTAATTAAGACCAAAGATCAAGAAAAACTTAAAAGCTTGATACTTGATAGCATAAGGTAACTTTTAAAGCGAAACATAAACGTTACAAGGTTCTATATAAATTTGGTTGAAGTTTGCTTTTGAAATTTAAAATTATTTTTGGGTGGTTATTTTTTTGATAATTATTATTAAAGAAACTTATATTCTAGATACAGCATATGGTTCCATTACAATATTCATCACGTAACTGCAATTATTCAACGCCCCCCCCCCCCTCTTCCTCCACATTACCCAATACATATGCAATACTTGCACAAAACCTCAACCGAAACTCGTCCAACTGGTAATACTAAATCTGTTAATACGTTACCATATGCGGCTCCACCACGACTTCAACTCGAGTATTCGTTTCATGGAAACAAATGAATATAAAGCCAGTACATTAAGCTACCGGCAGTCTTGCCCTCGTATGCGTCAAGTGAATAAAAACAGCCGCACGGGGTGGTTGGCGCTAGCGGAGCGTGCCTCATTTCTTACTTCACGTATAAATTGAAAAGCAAAAAGATCACATTACTTACACAGCGGAAGACTGAACACGAGGTCTAACAAACTACACGAACAATACAACGCATTCAAACATCAATGTAGCGTTTTATTCCTATTCAAGATAATTTTCCGCCGATACAGTATCAGCTTCTAACGTTTAAAATGTATTAACAACCAGCCCGTCTAGATCTCTGTTACGGGAGACATGTCTGGCGTCTGTCAAGTGGCGAACGTGAGAACTCGTTAAACAATCTAGTTTCCAATTACAGCGACAACGATACTACTAATTAATGTACCAAGTTATATCCTGATATCGGACGTTTCCTCAAAATTTCCTTATTTTATTGATAAATAAATAATACTAATCATACTGACGGTGCCATTATAAAGAATACGGTTATGGCGAAACGTTAAATTGTCTATGAATATTCAGCGGATATCCCGTCTGCAACAAGAGGCATTAATAAAGAAACGATTGGATTAACTTCTACGAAGAATATAAATCAGTTTCATAAATCGTTAAAAAACCCATTTTGAAGTGATATAATGTAATTGAATATTGGAAGGTGCGGATGGCAGCTGGCTCAGGTGAGTCAGCGAGGATAATAGCTGGTCAGGATGGAGAACGCGTAGGTAGACTTGCAAAGGAACCTGTTTGGATCAGGCAACTTGTGCATTTCTATTTATAAACGAGCCTTTCTGCATTCGGCCCACATATAATAGTCCATTATTAGAATAATAAATATAGTGTCGTGAATGAAACCTATTTTATAGCTCACTCACTACATCCTATATATAATGTAATGAACAAATAAATACATAATAAATTTATAATTTTATGTATCACACCACAGCGGGTCTTGCATCCGCTGTATGTAGTTTGATCGTAAATAAAGTTAACTTATAATAATTTATATTTTTAGCCTTCCTTGCAACAGGTTTTATTACTTAGTAATGAAATATTTTTTTATGAAATAAAAAGAATATATAAGTCTTAAACTAAAATGAAACAGTTGTAAACTAATAAAATTCGAAATTCACTATTTCAATTTTGGTTGGACATCAAACAAAAAACAAACCAAGTGTCTGGAGATATCAAAAACCTCGTCAATAAACTAAACTAGATGTTTCGCGTTACAAACAACATAGCTAATGTTTTATATAAAGTAGTTCCAGCAATTTACAAGCCAGCTCGTTGTGGAATGCAATAAGACGGCCATCGGTTCGGCCAATAGCCAGGCTAGATGTAAACCTAGAGAACTTTAAGTGGGAGAACTTGAATTATCCAAGGAGACGTTACATTAACAAAAACCTACTTAGGTATCCGTGTAGCTATTTGTGACGAGGAACAAAACTATAGTTTCATCCAACAAATTATAGGATAGTTGCATACAAGAATTCACTTTACGTCAGCGGCCAATAAACGATCAAAAATAAAGATTATTTGAACAACAAATTGCAGCGTTACGATATTCCGTTCCGTTACGATGAACGTACTGCAATATTTAGTACACCATTGTTAGTTGTTATAGAACAACGTTAATTACACTGTCGAAAGAACAATCACTCGGATCGGGCAATGATTGCGTTTGGATGGAACAAAACGGTTCAAAACGAGATATTAACCGTAGGCCCTTCGCCCACATGTATCATTAATGCTTTGTATTATCCTAATGCGTATTCAATACTTATATATTTTTCATTATTTACATTATATAATATCAAAGTAAAATTTATCCTTATTGAAAACTCTTTTATTCTTTCATATTCTTCGTACATTTATATGAGACGTTCAAATTTTTTTTCAATCAAACTATTCTCAGCAGACAATTCAATTTACTGCTTCAATTTTAACATTCCTTCCGCCGCTTAACGCTTGACAGTTAAATGACATTCTTTTCAAGCACGCTTATCAGAAATAGATTAGATTTTTAATAGCGTACACAAAAGGAAAGTTAACATTTATCATGATTTTATTAAAACTATAAGTAGGGATTATTAAAGAAAATTAACACAATATTTATTATGGTGATATTTGTCTGTTTTAAATTTATTAATTCCAACTGAATACATCATTTGTTTTCTGGAAATACATAAAACTAGTGAAGACTTGTGCTTAAATCTAAAATGCCATCTATATATCTAGATGGCATTTAGTGCACGACTCGGTAGATCCTTTCACTGTACGAAGCTGAAACAGTCGTGTGATATTTAACAGACATTAAAACATCTCCCAAATACTAAACTTCCCATCACCCCACTCCGCTGTGCAAACTTATAGCTGCGACGAATTATACATTTCATTTTAACGAATAAATTATGCAGACATCATTCGTGCCGGTGTGAATATTTATGAATGGTTCATGTTTACTTATAAAACTCAACTTTTTTTTATGATTAATTAAGATAACAATAGCTTTTGAAACTTATATAATCCCAGCCTTGTAACACAAAACAAAAGAAATCTCTTCAGTAGCAAATGACTAAATCTAAATATTAAAGCCGTTTCATATTTCTCAAATATTCTAAAGTTAGTGTTTTGACCCATTTCTTTTTCACGGCCAACCTCATTAGTTCACGTATTTAAATAAAAAAAATCAAGTACTGCGATTTTGTTTTTAAACAAAATTCAAAGTGAACGAGTGGATTCAAAATATATATATAAAAGATTATAAATTTATATGTACGCTATTTATCGCAGTACTTTTATCATTTAATACATACATATATTTACATACGCCAGTCGTTTTCTTTGCGTAGTCTGTCCATCGAATGCTATGAGTGACCTTGAGTCCCAACTAACGGATCACAAGAATCCGATTCGTTTTATCATTGCAAAAGAAAGCGGCGGTCGTTGTGTTTTCCGCGCGAGGGCTTCCAGTAATGGCTGCCGGAGTCACGGTGGCCGGCCGGCGTCGCGGTGACGTCAGCGGGGTAATTAAAAGGCAAACAGAACGCCACATGCGAGCGGGTCCAGCATGGCCGGGACTAGCAGGAAATCGCCGCTTACATCATCTGACTACGTGCCACCTCATACCTATTGTTATCAAACGTATTAGTCATATCGCGCTAAGTAATTAATCCACACATTTTGAGATACTCGACGCTTCTGTTCGGGAATCTTTGAATATTTTTGAGGTTTTTTGTACGAGAAAATTTATATTATTCTTGGTGACACTAGGAATCTTCCTATGTAATATAATATTTTGATGTATGAATCTTCTTAAATAATATAATATTTTGTTATCAGAAGATAACTTGAGAGCATCATTTCATTTTAATTTGAGAACATCATTTTATAATTATTATTTATTTTCAAATATATTTGTAATTATAAAAAGGATACGATACACGTTCAGTAATTGTGAACAGCTTTTGAAGTGATCCTTGAAAACAGACGATCTACATTTTTATATAATATGGACAAATTAAAAAAGGATACGTAGTACTGCTCGGAATTCAATAACACTACTATTTTTTCAACTCACACACACTTAAAATACCATTTTCTAAATAACAGACTGATTCATGATGGTGTAAATTAACAAGTTCGAAAAATTCCATATTCTGAATTTGCTTTTAAAATTATGCAATATGGGAAGAAAATTCCGATACACAAATTTTATAAAAGTCACCAGAAATAGACTGGAGATGAAATAAGAGAACAAAATATATTTAAGGGCTCTGTTATTTTAGACGTTGGAAGCATTAAAGCTTTATTGTTTTAACTTGCTATTGGAAATGAAATATAAAACGAATGCTTCTGAATATATTCATCCATAAGGAAGTGCAGACCAAAGGAGGAATAAAAGTTAGTTTAAGAACAAACGTTATATTGGATAAAATAAATAAAACGTTAAACGACATGAAATCTGCTTCTTGTCAAGCGGGCATTGGTTCGATAGCTTGATGTTCCTCAAACAGCCAATGACCAATCAGCCCGCGTCATTAATCTTGTCAACTGGTATTGCTTTCAACATAATGACGCGTGTCATTTTCAAAGGTGGAAGTGTCAGGAGCGATTTAGATTCCCGTCTGGGATGGTAGCAGGGATCCACACACTTAAAATACATTAACCAAACAAAATTAGAAGGGTGGCGGGATTTTTGAGTACGGAGAGATAAATGATATAAAGCCCGGTCTGTAGACATTCTAAATAAGGCGTTATTATAAATAACTTGTGACGGCATAACGATGGTATGAAGATTTCAAGAGAAGCTCGCCCGGGGGCAGGCGGAATGAGGAAAATAAAATATCACGTGACAAGCGACATAACACTAATTTAAAACCCCCCGTCCAAAATGGGACTGGCGCTGTAAATCAAGCCGCTCCCGCGCACGAAAAGCAAATAATTGTGGGTATGAGCGAGCACGGACGACATGCAATGACACCTCCAGCAACGTTAATAACTTGGAAGCATGAATATTAATATTCACACTCTCTTCCACATTTGCATCATGTTAAAAATCTTTTATAATTATATTCAGAGCATTTTAATTAAAATACTATCTTAATGCCATCGAGTAGTTAATTAAGAGAAGGAAGATAATTCAGCGATTACTAACTATATTCCTTACTCGACTTGTTTTATTTTACGTAAGTTATAATGATATGTGCTTATAATAACCAGACATTAATCTCCTATTTATTTAACAAGATTGGAAAGTGAGCGTCTGCCATCTCGTTACAAGATGATGTTACAATGTCGAGAACACCGCAAGAGCATGCAACAAGATGAAAGGTATCGTGTGTTGTTGAGGGCCATCAACACTAGTATGGGCACGTGCAACTATTTTTAATCAGACGAATTTACCGAAACAGTTGTTTAGCAGTTACTTTTAATGTAAAAATATACGACGGGCGAGTTCCGCTTTCTTTGAAGCAAATAAACAAAGTTATAAAAGTAAAGCACGAGCGAGGAAATTAGGCAAATCAACGGATGGAGCAGTGAACTCGCTCTAGCTTCTGATTTTACCGTAATTATGGACAGCGTTTTACTAGATCTAACTACACCACCGCACTACTAGACATTAAGGTGTGAAAAGATCTTTAATATAAGAAATGTAAGAATTTATAGCTCAAGATAAACAAGTAATAAGCAATAAACATTATAATCTGCACTCCAGAATCATAGCTCTCACGATTTGACTCGACCGCAAACCATTAGTCACACTTAACCACTCATTTCTCGGTTTTAACGAATAAAAAATATATATAAAGACAAGGATTATATGGAAACCACAGATTAGAGAAAAAACTGTAATAACTATACTATAATAACTTCACCTAGCTCAGTCTGTGAACTTATTTATTTTAAAGCTATGAATCAGACACATACGATTATTTTTATAACATGAATATGTCATCATAATACCCCCTAATCCCCATCAAATTGTTTGTCACAATAATTTAATCCTATCCAATATATTCATTGACTTGGACGGCAATTAAAATCTCTGTAGTCCACTTCAGCCTGCTAATAAAACGCTTAAACCCCCTCAATTCCGCGACTCCCGTTAAGCAAAGCAGAAACCAATTAATTAAAAACCATACTCACTGTTACTATAACTGTAAAAAAAAGCTCGCTGTACTGTTTGTCTGATAATCTGGTTTCTTTTTTATACAATGATATTTAACCGGCAAAAATGAACGCCTTGATTTATGTGTCTTTTTAGTCTGGCTTGAATTCAATTAAATTATATAATATAAAGAGAAATAAAAATGTCATAATGGCTCAAATTCGACGATACTACAAAGTACAAAGTAAAGACTTTTAATAGTTCTTAAATAGAATTTTGATATCTTTGACATCTTGTGCCGGAAAAAATACATACATTTTGCAATGTACATACAAACATTTACAATTCCTTTTAAAACTGGAATTTACGATAATTAGGAAGAGACATTATGACAGTGAAGGGGTTGGGATTGTACAAGGACCCATTGTTAGAACTGACTCTATGGAATAGGACGGTAATGAGACTGATAAACCGTCTTTGCAATTATACGAACGCTGAGGAACGAAGGTTTCTGAAGCGATAAAATAAAATTTATATTTCAGCTGAAGTTGCCTTTTAAAAATGATTTTTTGCTTAGTTACTTTTTAAAATCTTTAATTCATCCTCAACTTTAAAATCCCATTTTCAACAAAACTGCCTGTGAAGTTTAGTAAAATGTTTTAATACAAATAATTATTTAGACTCTGCTCATTATTTAAGGAAATAAATTTTAAGTTATTATAACTAGAACAACTGAGAATATACAACTAGTTGTTTATCAATTACATATAGTTAATTTCTGATACTGTATCTGTATACTTAGTACATATTTTTTGATCATTAAATATGACATAAAAATACATTACATAAAACTAATAAACTATGAAAAAAATCCCAGCGAGGGTCGTACAAGCTCAATATCTTTATATTTCTCACCCTCGTCGGAGTGGAAGATGAAAACAGAAAAAACTCACAAACATATTCCAATTAAATGCACATCTCGCTAATGAGTTTAAGCAAGCTCTGGGATTAAAAAAATACTCAATATAATATGCAAAATAATCTTCATGTATCAGTATAAATGAGATCATATTTTAAAATATTTGCAAGACATTGCTGATAAAAATAAAAAACCAAAGAGATTACAATCAATATATTTAATAAAATTTACTGCAGACTGACTAATCTTATTTAGAAAATAATTTACATGTAGATTTAATCCTTTCATACAAATAAACGATCATATAGAAACGATATCTGAACAATAAATTGTATTATACACTATACATTGTACCATATAGCATACAGGCTGTTACTAAGTAATTTATATTGGTGTAGCATAAACAATTTTAAAACGAAAGCGACTTTTATAAGAATATATGGTTTAATGTATTATATTTAGCATGGAAAGTTGTGGGGCGCTTACGAGCTCGCGTGACGGTGGAAAGCAAAGCGGAGAACGTACATTGGACATTGGATTTATTAAAGCAAGAAACTGTCGACCATCGTAACAAAAGAATAAGGTTCACATTGCTATATATTATTTGCAGGAACACCAGCATTGTCGCGGGTGTCCATGCAGCCATCGGAGAAATTCAGATGGACGAGATAATAGCAGCTCTATTAAAAATATGTAGCGGATAATAGAATTAAACCATTTAGTTTATAATCCAAGTCAATAGCTCATTCAATATTTTACTTACAGGTAATGTAAATCAAAACAATACCACGGTGAATGCTCGAATAACATTTATCGAGTGCGTTATAATACAGGCAATAATAATTTTTGGGCAGTCAATGTAGATAAATCTCCCTTGAGTAATAAAACATTCATTAGGGTTGCACAATAGAGGGGAGGTGTCGGAACGCGTGTCTACAATATACATATCCATGATTATCTTAAACAACTATTCGATCCATTTTTGTTCATTTGTAACGATAGTCTAGCAACTTTATTAAGTTTTAGTTATAGTTATGAAGGCAGGTTGTCGCAGGTCGGGAAGCCACAGAGGTTCATAACGTTAGTTATTCATGATAATGAAGGCTATACGACCGCCGGTCGCTTAGGGCTACAGGGGTCGACGCCCCTAACGAATGACGTCACCCGCCCTACAGCTGGCCATGACGTCATCACGCTGACACAACAACAAAACCTACCCTAAATCATACAAGTTCAGATCAAATCTTATATACAACAAAGAATTTAATAACAACATTACCTCATGGAATAGGTAAATGTTTAGAAAGAAACAACTTTATTCTTTGGTCCAGCAGATAAAACGATATTTTCACATTTATATAATAAGTCATAAGATTAATAGTCAATATTCATACTCAACTTTCAGAATACGGTTCTATTATTGAGCTTAAAAAGTACATCGTAACTAGTCATTATATATTTATAAACATTTCAAAGAGTTCAAAGCGAGGAATCTAAAAATGTGTTCTAAATAAATCAGTTGGTATGATTAATTATACGATTCGGTATAACAAAATGCTTAAGAGAACATTGTCTAAGTACCGTAGCGGCGAGTAGCGGGACCGCGATGATTTCTCATGCTAACACCGCCGACGGTGACCGTCTCGACACATCACACACTAAAATATATTCTCTAAGTCATCTTTGTATCATTCAGAAAATTCCACGGCGAGTAGTAATGATGGCAAAGCTATTATCATGAGAAATCTAGCACACAGATGCCATGTTAAAAATACTGCAGATTAGAACGCTGAGATAGCCTAAACAATGACTAACTACTGGATAGTACTTAAATGCACATAATGTAGCTCTAACAATCATCAAATGCCTAGAGATTTCTATCCGATAGGATTTAAATATAAGGAGTACAGCACTGTTGCGAATAAACGATACTAAAACGAGAGAGATTTGATTCACCGATGACTAAGATATATGCAAGCTAAAAACCTACTCACTGTGTAACAGTCATCCTCGTCTCAGTACGATCATGAGTTAAAATAAGAGGCCACATATAACAGTACGTATACACTTAAAACGGGATAAAAACACTTTAATGATGATTAACAGACATCTTAAAAGCATATAATAGTGTGAAAATTACAACTATAACACCTTTCATGCATTTTTTTTATTCGATAATCTTTTTCTCTTAGAATTCTTAAGACAATAGAACATTTTTAAAGATGAAAATGTTGAAATTAATTATACTGCTCAAGGTAACGTAAAAAACACATTTTTCGAAACTACTGCATTCATATTATTAATTTTATCAATGATTATTATATTAAATTACCGAATGTGTTTGTATATAAAAAAGGTAATGTCTCAACAACTTAACATACGTCTGTCCAGTCGCACTATACACAATGCAATTCAATTGAGAACCAATAAGAGAAACTGTGAAATTTATTCAATTTTGCATTGTAATGATGCATACCGAATGTAAAACAAAATGTTTGGCAATATTTTACTAGGCATAATATATGCGTCACAGAAAACAATGTATTGGAAATATCTCCAAGACTATTTGGTATTATAGCTCAATTCTTTTTTTGGTTTAATAATTATATTGAAATAGAAGCATAGTAAATTGCTGGATTATTTTTCATTACAAGATTTTCTCAGTCTGTATCTAGAAACGAGTAAAAGGAATCCGCGACGCAATTCGTAATGGTCTAGAACGAGTGCAAAATGGCATTTAAAGCCATCGTATAGTAATCCCATTTCCACGGTTCAGGTTCGAAGACCCCGACGGACCGAGCGAGCCGCTCTCTCGCGTGACATGCGACATCATCCAATATATTAATTGATCTCAATGAAAATTAACACAATAACGACTTACTGTTTATCTACATACCGTCACCATAATTACATACATACATGAATCAATCCGACCGTATAAATCCATCAAATTAAATTATATTATTTCATGTATTCGTCGAAACGCTTACTCTATATTTCTCTTGCGAACTACAATTTAATGTATGAAATTAGTTGGCATGGATGAAAAAAATCACAAGCAGTTTTATTCGTGATCCAACGTGTACCTGCAAATTGATTCTTCCCTTTTTAATATAATTTTCGTGGTGCATTTTTGAATCAGTCAGTACGAACCGTGTGGTACAATAAAATTAAAAAATCCATTCAGCAGTATCACCAATCACTTCTTTGTTTTCAGAAATACACCACAATAGGTTATGCGAAAAGCCGGCCGGCGAGATCGGAGGTGTGGGCAGAGCGGCGCTACGACTTGGAACACTCACATGCTAGCGAACGGGGCGAGTATGCAGTGTTGCTGTTTCAGGCGTTCGGCGAATGATTACTGCACTATCGGAGACTATCGGAGTATGGGAGCAAGGGGTGTTGGAGACACTGGTAGTATATACGGGCTTCGCGGTGGCCGATCGCGCGGCCGGTGTCTGGAGGACTGACGCGCGGTGTTCAGCCCGGAGCCCGAGCCCGCCCGCACACCCCTCTCCGACGCTCGCGCAGCGCCCTCCAGATGTTGCCGGCTCTCGCGGAAACCTCCAGAATCCATTTACCGACACTCACATGATACATACTCATTTACAGGCCTTTGTAATTTGTCAACATAAATCAGGAGAATTCAATTTGATATTGAATTTTTTGGATACCGTATTTAAACTCGGCTAAAGATTTATTAAGGCGATGACAAAGAGTTTTATAAATGTTTAATACCATGTGTTATTTTGGTTCATATGAGGAGCAGGACGACATTGATTGACTAAATATAAGAAATAACTCAGAATTTTTTATATTAAATTCTTTGTTTTTTTATAGTGTCACTAATAAAATGTATCGAGTGGATGTAATATCTTCATTAACAGATCAAATTCAACATTTATCTATAAACAGCAGCTGCACCTGCGGGTCATGATGAGCCTATTTCTATTGCTTAAAGAGTTCTTACAGCGAGCTAAGTTATGATAACAGACACGACTGATGATGGCACAGCCTCAGCATCGTCGTGGTGGCGACGACCCCGCCCCGCCACGCTCTACCGCCTACCACAACCTCGCCGAAACTTCGCACTTCACTTTTCCACCACAAGGAACTGTCAAAACGCACCATCCGTGAAATTACCGTAAATCTGACGCAAATGCCGTCTGCTGAGATTTTATATAGAACAAAAAAAAACTTAAAAACAAATCCAGATAACAATAGTCATAATAGGTATCCAATTTATTAAACTGACTTGAATCAGTATTTTTAAGGATAGATTCTATTTTATCGTTTTATTCATTTCTTCCAATCGCTTCAGTATACAGTGTTGCAGTGTGAAAATATAATATTATACTATAAAATTAACCATAACTGCAAAACAATAGAAACATTACATGTGCCCGGATAAGGCAAAGTTTTGAGCAAGTCGTGCTGAATCTCAATGAGCGTTGGTCCTCCATACCTCCGTACCTCATAAGACTCGACATCACTGTAACGGTATGACTCATTGCAAAAATCGAATATCGATTTGTATACGCACATGTTGTAACATTAATTGCAATAATTCAAGTTTTTCTTAACTAGCGCCTACACTACATAGAAGTTAAGAGCGTGGGAGTGAATTGAAGCTTTGTACTGAAATGTAGGCAATGCAAAATATCCTATAGTTATAATAAATATGGACACTAAATTACTTTCATATACAGTTACTTGACGGATGTCACGAAGTTTTTAGTAAACGTAGATAGCCTCTGCCACCAATTACGGATCATTACTCATGCAAGTGATATTCATACAGAAATAAATATCATAAGGAGACTCGATATTCACGGTAGCGATTAGAAAATAAAACTAATAAATATTCTATTTATTTATATTCCTATGTCTGAAGTAAACTGCATCTTAAGCATTACATCCAATTCTAAGTCACATTATCCACAATATAAATCACCACATGTTCCTAATAATGCACAACATAAAAGGAGTGAAAGCTGGTCAGGTGACCGTTTCTGATGCTGGTTTTTATATATTTGTAAGAGTGAGCTTAAAACGTGTCCGCAGAAAGTTTTCATAAAACTACACGTAACAACTGGTTGATATGTAATAAATTTTTAAAGTTTCCCTAACAGAATATACAGAGATTAAGCGGTCGTTGAACTGAGGACCAAAAAAAAATTGTCAATTGTGGGAGCGTTTAAGAAGACATACCATTTAATCTGTAAGAGCTCTATAAGAACTGAAACATATCTATAAACATACCGCGTACGTCACCGTACAAAATTATTTAGATTCACATAATATATTGCCATAAAAATTATAAGTACAGTACGAGCTATAGCTTCAACTTAAAATATTTTCTGTCTAAGCTTCGACTTGTAACAAAAAATTCATCATTCGAGGAGCGATTGTCAGAATATAACGAGCCCGTCCAGTATCTGTCCTCACAAAGGAAGAACTCAAACACGGACAGAACAAACATTGTATTCCCCCATTACACTCTACACGCGACGTGCAAAATATTTCTAAACAAAAATATTATAAAAACCTTCAAATGAAAACAGTTTACGACCAGTGGAATTGTGAGATTAAGCATGAATTTTATTCTTATCTGAATTACAATTCTATTGATACCTAAGATTTTAATAGATTGTAAAATATGAGATCTTAAGAGAAATGTTCAATAACAAAGCCACATCAATACAAATAAATGATCATGAAAATGTTTATTTGATTTGTATTCTCCAAGTTTCATAGAATTTCTATGAACAAAATAAAGTTTTAATTGTTAACTAATCCACTGTTTTCATCTTCCGGTAAAATCAATAATGCTGTAAAATAATTAACAGGAACAAGTAACATTTAATTCTCATAGATGTGTATTTTCTTAATCTATACTAATATTATAAAGCTGAAGAGTTGTTTGTTTGTTTGTTTGAAAGCGCTAATCTCCGAAACTACTGGTTCGAATTGAATAATTCTTGTTAAGTATATAGCACAAACAAAACTTATTATTTATGGAACTAAATGTAAATTTCTTGCAAACTAAAAAATAATTCAATGAATAATTAAATATATGATCAATTTATTTAGTTTCTATAAATAGAAATAAATTATTATATATATAAATAATTATTAATCTTATATGTTAATATATTTAAAGGATGTTACTCCAGACACGTGAATCATTTGCCACTACTAAATACCTGATAGTGTTTATGTTGGCATCCAATTAGATAATGTAGCGAGATGTAATGATAACGAGGCGACATGCTTGCAATTAGCACCGCACACTTTGAATTTAATTAATAATTAGAACGCTGTTGATTTATAATATAAAAAATGTGACCAAATACCACTGATATTTATATGACATAAATATTCACATACCTTAAATAACATAAAGAAATCTAAAAGTCAACATAATAAAATCTCGTTGGTAAAATGCTATAAATAATAATTCACTTAATCTAACGTCGAATCTATTGAAAGTTCTTTTGTACATTTTAGTACGTCAACGACATATGTATTATGTGAAAGGAAAATAAATCTAGAGAGTATAAAGTTCCAACATCCAACAAAGCCACCGCATAAATATTAAGGGCCAACTCTCAGTGAAACGCTTCATTGCTATGTAAGGCTTCATTTTGATAAAAAATACATGATCTCATATATGGAAACATTCTTCATACAATCGTTTAACGAATAATTTATTAATTGCATGTTTAAAGCTTTTTATACTATATAAATACAGATAAAATATTGGAGTTGAAATGTTTAAGTGATTTGAGATATGAACGAAAGAAATTTTCAATATTTCATACGATATAACATCAACAATGAAAGGTATTTGGGTTTGTTAGTAGTCATGAAGTATTATTAAACGAGAATGCCACTTGCTAGCATAGGTAAGACCGTTGTAATGATGATGAAACAGCTTAATCTTGGACGAGTTCCAACTACGACATACAGCAGTATAAAATTAAAATATCAAACTTTCCCCCAAAATCATTCAAGCCAAAGACTACGATATAAAACCAACCAGAATGTCTTATGAATATATGTATGTACACGTAAATGGTATATTATCAAAAAGCAGTTATACTTTATCCGAACCTTTGTTTACTTATGAAGAATACTCCTCTCCTTTAAAAATACTTAGGAAAATTAGCTAAGACTTTATAGCATTATAGCAGCTTTACAGTTAACTAAGCAAAAATTTATATCCAAAATTAACCAAATTGAATAATAAAAGTACACGCACGCGAACACGCACACCCACACATGTACATGACGCACGCATTTACACATGCACAAGCAACACAACCCCCAAAAACACAGAATATTAATTATATTAATTACTTCATATATGCCGCCTATTACTATTGAGCTCAATAGTTGTTAAGTTAACGATATTATTATATCAAAGTTTTTAACGACTCTCGTGGCGAAGGTATAAAAGTGATTAATTCAATATCATGTGATCCGAATAAGCGGTGCCTTGATTGAGGGAATTCTTTGACACAGCCTCATGACTTTAGCTTACAAACGAAAATTAAAAAGTCAGCAAGTCTCGTGCTTATAGCAAAGTTTAACGACACTTGTAGATTTATTATGGACCAGCTATAACCGCGACATTTTGAATCTCTGCCTTTCATTATAATTATTTGTAACAATTATAATTTAATTATAGAGTAAAGTTTCCATTGATGCTATTGAACAGAAAAAATAATAGATATGTGGATAGTACAATAAAAAAAATATCGACGTGATTTCTTTAATTAGCATAGGTTTTTTAATTATGAGTTGATTGATATGAAATAAAAACTAAATATGAAAGGAATCTTACCAAAATATATTTTATTGAAAACCACACTTTAATCGAATAGGCCGTCTTTAAGATTAACGTGCACAATAGCACAGACAAACAGGCAAAACCTCAAACACTCATTGTGTAGCGTACTACTTGTGTTGATAAAAGTTTCAATCATATTTTTTCCCCTATATTCCACGTACTTATGTATAGAAGGAAAGGAAAAACATTTTCACCATATGAGTAGAATCATCTAATATGATTTAGAAATTGTAAGGTTTCAAATGACTAAATCCAAATCGAACAAAATAAAGGAAACAATTTATTAATTCAGGATTTTAGGACGAGTACAAGGACTTACGACGAGACATTCCCGACTTTGCGGCGAGAAGACAGGGGAGGGACAATAATGTAATGTCGTCAAAGCGAGGGCTGTTCTCCCGTAGCGAACACAGCCCTATACATTTTTATTGCGACACACCCTCCCGCCACGCGTTTCCGACTACTCTACTGGATATAATCACTACCGCGTATTGTTTTTGTTTCATAATTAATTGCGGAATACTTAAGCATATATATATTTTTTGAATAAAACTATTGTTTCACCGATGCCGTTATTAACTTTCGAACATTTCCAATCAATATGAAAGGATCAATTCATCGGGGACCGCGTTCACCGCACCCTCCTTTATCCAGACAAATTCCACCCTATTATTAGAATATATGAAGGTCAGCTAGCGATCGATGCCCAACCAAAACGTGCTAAATATTCATGACATCACGCGTTATTGTCATGCTACTAAAAAGTCGAAACGATTTACATATAGGATGATAGGTACAAGACAGTTGGTTCATATAAGGCGGTCTACTGGCTCGAGGTATGCTAATAACATCTACCAGCTCCACCATCGCCGTCTGCGGACCGCGCCCGACATGTCATGTGGAGCATGACTCCATACTTTCATAGAAAACAAATAATGCAAGCCGCTTACTTTCAAGCGACTGCAATAGTATTATGGACATAACACATATTAAAGTTACAAAATCCTAACAACTAACATGCAAACTAGTTATACAATATGATATTAACTAAGCCCGTATCAATCGACATACATCAAAAGATTTTTGTGTTTCTCAAACAGCAATTTTCTGTAGGAGCTGTAACAATGTTTCAAATTTTATTACAAATCTCACTTTCGTCATTATTTTTCAAGCGGAACTGATATTTGTGTCAGATAATACGTGTATCATTTTGGATTATATGAAGTCATGAGGAGAAAACGTATTATGTTTAAAATAAAGTGGCAAGGGCCCTACAATCTCT